AGGGATAAAAAAGAGAGAGAGAAAGAGATAGAGAGAGAGAGTAAGAAAGAGAGAGAGAAGGGAAGACACAGGCAAATTAAGTGGAATAGGAATAAAGTGTGACGATGATGATGATGATGACGACAACGATGATGATGGTGACACGCACACACAACACACACACACAAATAAACAAACACACACACATACACACACATACATATATATATATATATGTATATGTATTAACGTGATGTGTATAGCAACATTTTCCCCTCAAACAAGTTAGAAAACCGTGTCGGAAGGGTTTTTGATGGGTAAAAATAAAAATTAATTGCAATAATAAAAAGAAAAAAATGACTTCGATAATTAATTAATCAATTATTTAATCAATCAATCAATCAATTAATTAATTATTTAATTTAATGGTAGTTTAGTTTTATTGCCGTGGTTAAAAATACTTAACGACTTTAATGTTGTCATAATTAGAAATTAATTAATAATTATTGATATATTAAAAATATTTATTTAGGAATCTTTTCAAATGTCAATAGCTTGAAATTTTAACAAAAATTTTAATTAACTGATCAGTTGGATAATTGGCTGATTGATGAGTTAATTTTCTCTTCTGTTGATAATGAACGTCTAATTGATTGATTGATTGATTGATTGATTGATTGATTGATTGATTGACATTTACATATGTGAAGTGCTTAACCATGGATTTTTTTACTATAATATTCTTCGTAATAAAAACAAGTTAGTTTTTTTTGTTTTTTTATTATTTTGGTTAACCTTTTAATAATAATAATAATAATAACCATAATGATGAAAACATAATCACCTAATCAAATAAGTTTATTAAAATACTCTACATACTAATGTGTGTGTATGTGTGTGTGTTTGTGCGTGCGTGTGTGTGTGTAAGTAAGAATGTATATGGGTTTGTGTGTTTGTGAGTGTGTGTGTAAGTAAGGATGTGTATCGGCTTGTTTGTGTGTGTACGTGTGTGTGTGTGCGTGTGTGTGTACAGACAGACAAATGAGGATGAAAAAATAGAATGCCGCTGGCAATTTATTACCAAGAATGTTAAATGGGTTACCAGCGATAATAATATTGATAACTGTTATTATTATTATCATTATCTTATTATTACAATTTTAATTATTTTTATTATTCATCTGATTAATATTTTCATGATAATATTCTTATTCATATTTTACTACTTAAATGTTTTACTACTCCAATCGTTGAAGTTGATATTTATAAAATTATGGTGGAATAATTTGAGAAAAAAAATTAATGATTTCTGTTTTGAGACTGTTTAGGTGTTTTCTGGTTATGTATTTGTATCCAAATGGGAGTTACTTTTGCCTGTTTTTTTTTTTTTTTTTTTTTTGTTTATCCCATAAAACCATTCTTACCTCTCACAGCCACCTCCCAAATTCTCAACTACATTGACGAGGAGAACACCGAAACGGTAGGCGGTCTCGTCCAAGGCAGCGTGAAGTTGCGCTGCAGAGGGGCCACCACTTTCGACCCCTTTACTCATTCGGTATACTGGTACGACACCGTCTACAACACCGACGAAAATCCGATTCTGATATTTTCGAGTATTAACAATACCGACTTCAATCCGAATCCGAATCACCCGAAATCTGCGCATTACTTGATCGACTTTTCAGACTTTAGTCTCACAATCAGCTCACTTGATCTGGACAACGATCCTGGATGTTACTTCTGCGTTGTTGAGCTTGACGGCAATGTTACATTCAGGCAGAGTTATGATTTGACTATTTTCGGTTAGTTAGTGAGTGGATGTTTTTTTTTCTTAATTTTTAAGAAATATTTTTTTGATCTTTATAATATATAATGTTATAAAATATTTCTGACACCTCATGGCGTCTTCTTTATGTTACAGGCAAGAGAAATAGCGTTGTAAACCCCTAAAAAACGTTGTTTTTGAAAATAGAAACTTCAAATCAAAAAACTCCAAATATTTATCAATTATCATAGGAGGACATGTAAACTGAAATTAGTTTATTAGTCATTAGTCATTCGTAATTAGTATTCAGTTTCCTGTCATTAAAAGCAAAAACGAGTATTAACACTAAGAAAAATTGAAAATACTAGGTCCCCCTGAATGTAAAGGCGAGTTCGAAGTAACGGAAAATGTTACGGTGGAACTGACCTGCCTGGCCAACCATTCCGGCAAGCTGCTTCCGAAGTTGAGGTGGTTCAAAGAGGAAAATATCATGAAGGGAAGGTCATCTGTGGAGGTGAGGCGGACGACTGAGGTTGTCAGTTTCACGGCCAGCTCCAACGACAACCAGGTGAAGCACATCTGCCAAATGACCTACGGAAACGGACTGGTGGAAGAATGCGAGGGGATCATGAAAGTCCAATGTTAGTCCGTTAGAAGGGGGACATCTTACAGACCAAACAATAAAACATTTTAGCATATTACCACAACATACTTATTTCAATCAATTGATCAATCAAACCTTTTAGTGTATCATAAATTATAACCGCGAGTAATCATTTGATCAATGCATCCAGTTTTCGTGCGAGACTTGACTATTGAACCGAACAAACGCACTTTCTTTGTAAAAGAGGAAATCAAATGTTCGGCGAGGGGCAACCCGCCGCCCAAAGTTTACTTTGGCACCGCGTCGGTCCTTGCCGTGAAGGGGATTACTAAATCCAAGTCCTTACAAATACAATCTTCATGGGCAGATCAAGTTTGTCATCGTGTGCGTGCGTGCGTGCGTGCGTGCGTGTGTGCGTGCGTGAGAGGGGGTTGAAAAAAAATTATTCAATGGTTGATTCAAATTCTTATAATTAGATATGAAAAAATATGATGGTATCGACAAAATCTAATTAAGACCGACTGACCAATCAACCGAAGCTGATTGATTAATTGATTGATTGGTTGATTGAATAATTGATTAGTTGAATGATTGATTGGTTGGTAGATTGGTTGATTGATTAACTGATTGATTGATTGATTAAATGAATGCTTGATAGACGATCAACCTGGTATGCACGGCCAACAATACGTTCAACGGACTTACAAGAACCGAATCTCATAACATAACAATTGATGTTAAGGGTAAGTTGAGATAAAAAAAATAAGTCTCATCATGAGAACATCCTTTTATTTTTTAACTCCAAATACCAAATATCAATTATGAAATAATTATAAAATTCTATTAATCTAATATAATAATAATAATAATCACCAAAATATTTTTTTATCCAGTGAGAAAAGAGAACGAAATCAAAGATAACTTAGGTTGGCGAACATATCTTACACTAATAATACTAATATTAATCATTACTGCTACTAAAATTACCGACTACCTTTCTTAGTATCACTGTTACTATAAATCATATTAATACTAGTACTATTAGTTCGTCTTCTCTCTCGTGTGTTATCTCCTTTCTGGATATTGGCGACCATCAACCACATGTCACATAAGCTTGCGATTGTATATATCACATATACACATATATATTTATTGGTAATAGACCATAATTTTTACAATATTCTATAAATTCTACCGAATGTTTACGCCAAACATTTGGTAGAATTTATAGAATATTGTAAAAACATATATATTTATATATAGCTGTGTATGAATTCTACCGAATTGCAGGCATTAATCAATACAAAGTGTGCTTTTTTCAATTTTCCTTAATAGAATTTTCTGGAAATTGTCAAATCTATTGAAAATAGAATTATTATCCAAGTTCATCTTGAAAATTTAATAAAACTGTTGCTATCCAAATTCATATATCTATATATGTATATATTGTATGAATATTTATTACATGTATATCTCATATTAGCACGTATTTACAAGGACAAGACAAGTCCACCTTTGCATTCGTTCAGAATAATTAAACCAATAATATATTAAAACAAATAAATAATTAATCATTACCACAGATAAAGTCACTGATCAGACCTACTTGGTACTGACGGCCATCATAGTAGGGGCCTCTGTCTTGTTGGTGCTCATCTTCGTTTGTGTTGTTGTTAAGAAGAGGCAGAAAAGAAAGTTAAATAGGTTTGTTGTGTGTGTGTGTGTGTGTGTGTGTATGTATTTGTGTGTTTATAAGAGTTTGTGTAATTGTGTACATGTGTGTATGTGTATGTATGTGTGTGTGTGTTTGTATGTATGTGTGTGTATTTGTGTATTAGTGCGTTATTTGTGCTCAGAATCACTTCATTAAGACATCTTCAAAACATCTGAAACCGTTTTGAGAGCAGTTTGGAGAGATTATGGCCTGCTACAATAAAAATCTTTACGCACCCACAATAAAATTACGATTAAAAATTTGTATATGTGTGTTTGTGCCTGTGTGTGTGCGTACGCGTTTTCGTTTGTTTGTTTTGGCTTATTTGTTTGCATTGTTAGTGTGTGTTATTTGTTTGCATTGTTAGTGTGTGTGTGTGTGTGTGTGTTAGTGTGGTGTGTTCAAGTTCATGTTAAAAATTTTAGACCAATTTCGAATTCGTCTTTTTTTTGTCCAAAGTCATCGAAAAAACCAGATTACATTGAAAGGTAGATGGCAACAAATATTACAGGTTGAACCTTCCTCAGTTAACATTGGTGGGTGTAGAACTGAATTTATAAGCTTTGTTACAATTTTAGGCTACAAAATCAGTTCAATGGGCCCACATACTTCAGAATTGGTTAAGAATTGTTCGTTCAATCTGCGCCAGATTCATCAGATGAGAAAGATTCTAAACAATGATGCTCTTACGTCATTCATCAACACTAGATTAGACTATTGCAACTGTCCTTTAAATGGAATGTTAGATAAAAAAATTTCGAAGTTGCAGGTAACACAAAATCAAGCTGCAAAGATTATTGTCGGTAGTTCAAGGTTTGACCATGTCTCTCCAATCTTATGGGAGTTGCGTTGGCTGTCTATAAAGCAAAGAATCCTGTTCTAAATGAAGGGTTAGGGTGTCTAAATGCCTAAATCATTTATTTCGTTCCTAGGTACATGTCCGATAAATGCATACAAATTTCTTTACTGGAAACTCATGAGCGATTGAGGTTTTCCAATTCAAATAAATTGTATGTACTGAAATCAAATTTAAAAACTGGTAATAGAGATTTTGCCGACGTTTTGAAATAAACTGACAGACGAACTTCGTCAATTGTGATTATCGCTCATGGAATTTAAAGACGCCTAAAGACACATTTGTTTAAATCATTTTTATGAATTTTTTTTTTCTTTTTGAAGATGGAGTGCTGATGAAAATTTTTAATTTTACTTGGCGATATATTAATAATAATTGTATGTGTTTGTATTGTATGGTTGTTCGTTGGTTGATTTGCAACGTTGATATGTTATTAAAATATTTTATTTAATAATTTCATTTTCCGTATAATGAATTCACATCTTACTCACTTCTCTACGTCTCACTCCTTCTCACTTTTCAATCCACATCTCTATCCACATCTCTACCCACATCCCCCTCACTTTCTATCCACATCTCACCAATTCAGGACTGCTCACATGAGGAAAGAACCTGTCAGAGTTTGACGATGAAGACGATGACGATGATGTGATTGATCATGGTAATGATGCTTATGATTATTTTGACGATGACGACTAAGATGGCGTTTTTAACGAGGGTGACGTTGGCGTGAGAATCTTGTTGTCAATAGTGACCTATGCGATACGGTAAAGATATCAAAGATAATAAAAATTATAATAATTTTAAAGATCATGACGTCATTACGACAATAACAATATTAACAACAACATTAACGCTGATGACGATAATGCAATGATTATGCATCAATTTATTTATTAATTAGTCAACTACATATATCTGCTACGCAATTTGTGCTGCTAAATCATTATTATAAAACTTCTTTCATTATTATTTCATTATTATCAGCATTTAAGCAATAACACATCTATAATATTTTCTCAATTTGTATTATCATATTATAGTGTTACTGTAGATTTTGCTTTTGGATTTTGCTAAGGCTTTCGATAAGATACCAAAGAAACGTTTGGCCTTATAATTAGAGGCAAATGGAAGTACAGGAAACACACTCATGTGGATTTTTAACTGGTTAAAAGATAAACGGCAGAAAGTGGTGCTGGGGGAAGTTTTTCAAACTGGAGCAATGTTACAAGTGGGGTTCCTCAAGGATCCGTATTAGTACCGTTGCTATTTGTAATATGCATCAGTGATATTGATCTAGGAATGAAGTATAAAATTTCAAAATTTTCAGATGACACTAAATTATGCGCTGTTGTAGACAACGATGAAGACGTTGAAATTCTAGAATGCGATTTGCAAGAAATATGCAAATGGGCAGAGGATTGGCAGATGGTATTCAACACTAAAAAATGTACAGTCATACATATGGGAGCGAACAGCTTGGCAGAAGTAGGATGTTAAAAAATAGTCTCAGATTCGTCCTGTCACAGACTTATTTCTTTTGGATCACTATAAAAAATGTTTGTTATACTATGTTATTTAAGGTAGGACAGGCGGGGATAGTGCCACGGGACTTCCGCCTAAAAGGGGAGCCTTCACATAAAATATAACGTAAATTTAAAATACCTTTCTGTTGATTAATTGTTAAAAACATTGGTTTCAGTGGAGACACACTAAAAAAATTGTTGGATTAGCTAGAAATAGTTATCACAAACTTTTTTAAAAGTCTAATTATGTCTCTCTGAGGTTCAAAACTATAAACTTTAAAAGCCTTTCATTAAATGATTACAGAGACTTTCAATAAACAATTAGGGACACTACTACTAAATAATTAGAAACACCCACGTTTTCGCTACCCCCCATGGCCGCCTCTGGTTATTATTATTTATTTATTATATTAAAATTAATTATACTGTTATCAAATACTATTATTTGCTGTGCTAATTTACCATAGCGTAAACTGTAAAGCAACTGATTAATTAAATTAATTAATTAAATTATTTGATGTTATTAATCCGATTAAATTGCTAGCTAAATCTGTTTCTAGAAAATATCCGTCATTTATATTTTGTATTATAGTCTCATTCGTTTATATAATTTTTTTCATCATTATTATAAAGAATCTTTTAAAAATAGTGATAAAAATAATTAAAAAAAAGATCTTTGAAGAAATGAATCGGCACTAACATATTATATAATTTATTAAATCGTAATATGAGTATGTGTGCGTGTGTGTGTATGTATGTATACACATATTTGTGTGTGTGTGTGTATATATGTAAACACATGTATATATATATATATATGTGTGTATGTATGCACTTGTTTTATACTGTTTTTAACAAAAAAAACAAGCATTTAGAATGTATCTACTTAAAAATTTTTGAAATCATTCCGTGGAATATTGTTTGTTTACAAATTTGATTTGACCTGTACCTTTCTGTCAGTCAATTGAAAATATTTCTATTCATTATCTTTTTCAATGGCTTTTCATTTGTATCAATAAATCTTGTGATCTCCATTGATATGGATCATGGCTATATATCCATGATATAGATTTATAAAATGAAACCAGCAGAACAACAACCACAGAAGCAACAACAACAAAATGTTCATGACATGAATACTTACGATTGCGATATTACGTTGACATTAATAATAAAAATGATAAAGACAGTAATTATAATATAACAGTTTTATATCAAAACCTATATATATATAATATATATAAAGTATATATGAAACTAACCGAATTAGTATTACAGATAGGAATTGAAATTAAGCACGCAACCTGGAATGGTTTCACGTCGTCATTTATATTCGATGTATCACCACTTACTGGTTAGGTATCTGAACCTAAGCCGTTTAAATATCCTGGTCTATGTTTGACATCCTTTGTGTTCTTGCTTGCTTCCATTATATTTTTTAGTATCGTATAAGATAAGGTAATACCAACATACACCAAGCAAAGCATGACGTTCTCATCTTAGCTGTTATTTTTCGGACTGAGTCATTCATTTAAACTTAAATAAATGAGTTTCATGAACGAAAGATAGAAAAATTATATATAATATTGATTTCACCATATTTCTTGGTACAAAACATCTCGAGTAAAATATCTTTAACAAGTTGTCAATGATAATAGCTGGAAAATTATTAATTTCGCTTAAAGTAACATAATATAAAACCCAGTATTTATGCACTATATAATTTTTTTTCAATTTGAACATAATATAAAATAAAAATAATATGCTTTAGAATGTAGCATACCTGATGAAGTATTTTTTCAATATGTACCTGCTTTTTGAATGATTCACTTTTTTATTGTTGTTGTTGTCAGTTAAAAATGGATTATGATAAGGATTGCATTTTTTGTAAAATAACAAGAGGCCAAGATGATCAAACGACTTTGCTTTATCAGGTTATTTATTACTTTTGTATATTTTTTTTTATTTCAGACATAATTATGTCGTACAATTTGTTGTCCGTTTTAATTTTACAATTTAAGTTTGTTTTATTGGTAATTTTGTTTATTTTACAATAGTCGGCCAATAAACTAATAATTATTTTTTTTGATTTATATCAAACTAAAATAAAACATGATCATTATAATCAAACTAGTCTGATTACATTAAATCAGATAATCTGATCAGATAATGCAACTATTTATTTATTTATTCATTCAATTATTTTTATTACATTGCAATCAAAATCTGTGCCTGGCATTTCAGACTTTAACGGTCAACCATTACCCCATTTTGCCGCCCGTTATATTATATTTATGATGCTTATAATTATATAATAATAACCTTAATATTTTTCAAATATACAAATTCATAAATGAAATAATGAAATAAATAAAAATTAGGATGATGACTACGCCGTGTTCAGTGACATCAAGCCTGCCTCAACCCATCACCTCCTCGTCTGTCCGAAAAAGCACATCATAAATGCCAAAGTTCTGACTAAAAAAGATATACCAATGGGTAAAAATGAAATTTTTTCAAAATGATCATTTTATTCGTTGGGCAGAATCAGAAGTCTCCTCTGTATGTAGTTCTTTTTATGGCCTCTAACTTTGACCTAAAACTTTTCATAACTTTGTTACAAAAGTATTGTTGTAGTTACACGGTCAGAAAAAGTTAATGGTGGTTTTGTGTCGTACTGCTATCTACGTCTGTGCCATTTTTCTTAGTACTTGAGTTAAATTCAACTTCATTACAAATTTTAAGTAACCGATTCGAGACCTACATATTTATATTTGTGGTTTTAGTTTTAGCATTAAATTTTTACCTATTTGAATTTGTAAATGGGTCGTTGCTACTATTGTCATTGTTTCGAAGATATGCTTCTTTTTAACTGTGTGAAATTTTTTTTGATGTTATGTGCGTTTGTCCATGTGTTTAATGACTTCCGTAGAACTTTTGTTTAATGACTTCCGTAGAACGTCAATGCCTGAGGAGTCTCAAAACTGATCACAGATGTAGAGATGCTGAGCACAGATGTAGAGATACTGACCACAGATGTAGAGATACTGACCACGGATGTAGAGATACTGACCACAGATGTAGAGATACTGACCACAGATGTAGAAATACTGACCACAGATGTAGAGATACTGACCACAGATGTAGAGATACTGACCACGGATGTAGAGATACTGACCACAGATGTAGAGATACTGACCACAGATGTAGAGATACTGACCACGGATGTAGAGATGCTGACCACAGATGTAGAAATACTGACCACAGATGTAGAGATAAGTTTTCGCGTAGAAAGATTAGATTTTAATGTAATCGAGCGAGCGAGCACTGGCGGTCAAAACGTACGTGGTTCGTTCGGTTACGATGATAATGAAAAACCATTTATCCACTAAAACTCATGATTATTTGCTTGTTGTTCTAAACGTGTTAATAACTTTAGTATATTTTTAAAACAAAAAAAACTGGATAAAACCGAACTAGATAAAGTGCTTGCGTCCATCCGCCTGCAAGTATCGAAAAATTCGTGCACATTAACGTGTGTTATCACGTTTTGTGAACGTAACTGATTTGAATTTTTTGTTCACCCAACATCATTTAAAACATAAAAATTTTATTTTATCTGATGTTTGCATCATTATCGACTCGTATTGAAATTGTTCTCTTTCAATATTTTTAGTAAGAACCTTATACCAATGCACCGGTAACATTTCGATACAATTCGATACCGATTAAAAACGCATTTAATGATACCGAAAATAATATTAAAGGCTGACATTATAAAGGATAGATATGTCTAATAGAAATTGTCCGTAATCTGCCCTGAACTCACTTTAGCGTAACATTGCTTGTTATTTTAGTTTGCTATGAAGGCTACCATGAAAATAGTTCTTAACGCTCACTGTTCAAAATTGTTCCACACAAAGCTGCTTCAAATTTGTTAGAATATTGTTTGTAGGATGTTTATGTTAAAAGTAAAAAGTTTTTTTTTATAATTCTTCATTTATTATTACATAACATCAAATATTATTGCTTCAAATTAATTTACATTTAGCTACTTTTAAATTTTAATAAACTATTTATTTATTTTGAAAGTTTTTTCAAAATCTCATAAACATAGTTGATTAAGAATAAGCAAAATTATTCAGTATGATTGGTGTTTTAGATTTAAAAACTTTCTAATATTAATTATTTCATTTGACCAGTTGAACAATTGGTAGAAATAGCTAGGAAAGTTTTAACAGAAAAAGGTGCTGATGTTGAAAAGACAAAGTAAATTTTCTTTTTATTCTTGTAATTTGTATAAAACTACTTTTGAAACTTCACATGATTGACAGTTACGATACTAAAATAAAACAAAATCCTCCACATCATAGCTTCTACACGGTTTTATACTTAATAATACATTCCTTTTCACCGATATGATCCTGACCCGTTCAAGTTTTTTATGATTCAGCTTCCGTCGTATCCAAACTCTTGTATTATATTTGCCAAAATTCTGATTCAATGATGTTTAAGTCTCAAGCCATCTCGCACACTAAATAAAGAGTGCAGCATTGCTTCCAAACATAGCATCCAAGCATCAAATTAATATGCTATTACGTTAAAGTTGAGGATAAGGTTTCCATTAGGTGCCTACACAAAATCACCAGATTAGGATTTCACTGGCCTCCATTTTGTAGCGTGAAACATCTGCACCTGCACGCCATCAACCCCGAGGATCAAATAAGGACGACTTCAAAACTGTTCGGCATTTATTCACCTAGCAGTCCTTGGTTCGCCAGTGTAAGTACCCACTTCACCTACCTAGGTTTATTTGTATTTTTATGATTTTTTGATATTTTTTGAAAAAAATGAGTTTTCATGACAAATTTTAAATATAAATAATAATTTTTTAACGAAAATATTTTTAAATTGATCATTTTAATTGCTATTGTTTTACAACAGTTAGAATTTGTGCTGGATAGATTGAAAAACATGGCTGACTGACTGTTCCACTCCTGCCTTATCGCTTGAGTCGGATCATTTGTATAGTTCAATCATTGGCTGATGTGATTTAGTGTATAATACTTTTTCATTATTTTATGTTGGATATTGAAAACAAAATTATATACCACTCTTTTTTAGTTTTTCTGTTGTACATCCTTTTCTCTGGAACTCTCTACCTACTTCTCTGACTACTTCTCCATCACTTGCGAAGTTCAGAGCGAATCTCAAGACCCATCTGTTTTCAAAATTCATTGGAGAGCGCTGTTGAACATCGCGGAAATAGCGCTTTATAAGCTGATTGATTGATTAATTGATTGATTGATTGATTGATTGATTGATTGATTGATTGATTGATTGATTGATTGATTGATTGATTGATTGATTGATTGATTGATTGATTGATTGATTGATTGATTGATTGATTGATTGATTGATTGATTGATTGATTGATTGATTGATTGATTGATTGATTGATTGTAAAGCTCGAATTGTACAGCTCGAATTGTAAAGCTCGAATTGTAAAACACATCGATTAACGTTAAAAATGTAAGTTAACTACGTTTTATTTCATATCTTATTCTTGATCTGGACACTTGTTTATTCAAACAAAAATGTGATTTCGGAAGATATGACGATTGAAGTAAGGCTTTCGATTAAGGCGAGTAACATTACATTGTATCGTCATGCTCATTATTTTACGTTATAAAAATCAAATTCATACCATGAAGTGTTGTCACATGGTTTACAAAAAATAAGCCGTACAAAAATGAAAAAATGTTCCAATCGTTGCAAAAATAGATTAAATCACAAAATAATGAAAACATGGAAACTGTACTAAATAAATAAATTGAAAATCAGCTGCAGTTGAAATCACCATAAAATACTTTTCGACCTAATCATTACACCGACAAAATAGTATGGGTTTGTTTGGTCAGGTTTGTACTTAAAGATTTGACAGCCATCATTATAATTTCCTTCGTTATTATTATCGATGTTGTTGGCATAAGTATTCTTTGGCAAACACCTGCTCAAATTAATTTTCTGAACGAAGGTTTCAACAGAGGACGAGACAAAGAAGTAGTTATCACTTTCAAAATTCTCAGTTCCAAATAGGTAGAGGCAGTCGTTGATGTTGAGAAATGCGGAGTTAATGGCAGGCTTCTTCAACGTCAGCAAGCGTGTCCACTGATCAGCTTCAGAATCATAAACCTCTCCTGACTTTTATAGTGATTATTAAATTGTACAGTTTAAATAAATTTTAACATCAAATTTCATACAAAATATCACATTATAAAAAGTTACAATCAGCTATAAAGGAGATAAATTTTAAACAAAAAAAAGTAAAATTTAAAAATTTAGGTTTACGTTAAAAAAGTGACTAAATGTGTAACTAAAAGTGTAAATACGTGACTAGATGTGATGTAGGCTAAAGCTAAAACACTAACCATCACATTCTCCGAGTCGAAATCACATTTTCTGCCCCCAATTACGATCAATCTGTTTCCCAAGGTGGTCATAACGTGGTCCATTCGTTCATTCAGCAATGGAGCCATTTCCGTCCATTCGCTTCCATCAGGAATGTACCGCCATACTTGCTTCGACGTTCCGTGCGCGTTCAAACCGCCGCTGACGTACATCCTGCCGTTGCAAACACAACCTGTGGTTTAAAAAAATGGCTAAGTTAGTCACCGTCAAATAAATTTCGATTTTAAGACTATTAGATAATTAATTTAACAGAAAATTAATAGCAAGTTTTGTGGTATGAAATACAATGAAAGATAGAAATTAACAAACCTGCCAAATTAAAAGTCTCGACTGGCAGAGGCGCCGACATGAGCCACCTGTCTTCCCGAGGAACGTATTTTTCAACTGTTCCAGTGAGTGAAATGAACGAGCGACCGGAAACAGCATACAGGTGTCCGTTCATTTCACCGAAGTAGAAATTTTTTCTTGGAACATTCATTTTGGAGCACTGGATTGATATTTTAAAAGTTATTAATTTGAAGTTGAAACAAAAGTGAAGCGTTTTTTATCATCCGACTTATCGAATTGTTTAATTTCTAACCTAAACTCAAAACCTCATAAGCTAAAAAAGAAATTATTAAAATCTAATTAACCTGTGTCCAGGTTGAGTCGGTGAGATCGAAAACATGGATCTCATCCGTTAAGCGCTGGGGTACAATGCCTCCGCCAGCCAAATATAAGCACTTATCTACCATGCAAACTTTGTATCTACAGCATGGCACAAGTGGTCCCAGCCTGTTGGCAGTTCTGAACTGTACGGAATCTGATCTGGCATCTTTCCTTTCCTCCTCAAACGTTTTAATGAAATCATAAACCGAGAGTACTTGAGGCTGAACGTCCTGAAAATTGATGTTATGTTATTGCAGGGAATTGAATTAAATTTCTTACCGATTATAAGATGTACAATTTAACGTAACATGAACCTACAAAGATGTTTTTGAAAGCAGACGGTAGAAGTGGAATTCTCACGAGAAAGTGAAAATGTTTGACAAGACAAGCGTAAATTAAAGTAAAATAAATAGCGTCTGAAAAATACTTGAATAGCCAAATAACTTTGAAAAAATTTATATTATGGAAATTTATAACGTAATAGTAATAATGATTTATAGATTCCGTAAATTACAGATGCGATAGGTTCTTGCATCACATATGAAAGTATTGAATGCAGCAAGATCCTATCCACAACTCAACAAAACTAACAAAATTTGGCTCATAAATCATTTCATCAAATACTGACTTTGAAAGGGGATGATCCAAGAGCAAATATCGTTCCAACTGAGCGGAAATTTTCCACAACCTTTTCCTTTTTGTTAATGTTCAGCTCGAGTTCATCAAGTATTTCGTTACTTCTCTGCCATTCGCCGGTTGTCATCAGACCATACCTCACCCCGGTTAACAATTTCTCTGCATGTTGTCTCCTTGATTCATCGGCAGATATCCAACGAATAACGAAATTGAAGATATCAAATTCGCTTTCTGCATTGAAAAAATCAGATTCAAGAAGGTAACAAATGTCATCCGGTGCCAACTTTAACACGCTGGATGTCATACCAAGTTTTCTGAAATTCTCCGTGACGTACTCACGGACATTATTCAAAACGTCAGGCAACATGTATTTGGATGCAAATTTTAATATACGCGGAAATGTTGACAAATATTTGGACAGCAAGTCATTGTACACGTGAATCATGCTACAAATTTGCAGATACGATGCTCCTTTCAATCCCTCTTTCAGCATTTTGTATGATTTCGACTTCGTACACTGATAACCATTATTTCTGTTATCATTTAGTAGCTTTGACAAAAATTCGCAAATTTCGATCAAACTCTCATCCGACATCAACTCTAGTGTAAGTTCTTTGAAGCGTGCATCTCGCATTCCACTGTTTACGAGGCCCTCGAAATATCCGCTGGCTCGAAGCAATATATCCTCATCTACTTCGAAACGTCCGCCTGTTTTGGAAATTAACACTACCATCTTCGAACCATCAACATCGTCCGCTTTCTTTATTTCCATTTTAATTCTTTTGTCCATTTTAAGTTAAAAATTTCAAACAGTTTTCAAATCACAAAAAATGAAATCTTTACCTTGTACGCGTACGATTTGATCAAAGTTTTGAAGCAACAATTCTGAGGTTGTAAGACATGGCTGTACCCCATTTATAGGATAGGATTTTACAAGGCGTACGTAATAAATACGTATATGGATTTTACAACGGGTACATATTAGCAATTTCTCTGTTGTTGTACAAAGGAAAGAAAATAAATTTAAGAGCAAAGATCAATAGCATTTCTAGACAAAGTCCAAGTTTACAATAACTCTTTGTTATCTATTCACAATTCACAACTTGAACTTGTAATTTTCATAACTCGTTTAGAAATTTGCTTCATTAAATATTGGACTCTATATGTTTGAAATAAAAATTCATTTTTTAAAAATTATTTCAGATTTACAATTTATCTATTGATGATATGAAAACACGGCACAGCTTTGTGCCATCAGACCACTCGTCTTAACCAAATTCAACAACTTCGACATCTTAACTTTCTGCGTCATTTATCTATGTCAAACATATTCACACAGTTTCAAAAATTGAACATGAACATGAAAAAATATGAACATGTACAAGACAATACAATACAACATATACAATACATCATGATAATTTGTTTCTTTTGTTTTAAACTCTAAAATCAGCAAACAAACAAACATTTAATTATAGCTTATCATAATTCAATGGAAATACTTGTGATCGCTAATTACCTTAAACGATATTTTTTATATAAAAATTTTAGTGTTCAGTGTTCTACATTAGACATTTCATGTTTGTATAATTAGATGAAATAATAAATTTGGAAAAAATTTGCATTTTGTAAATTTTCACGTCTTCATGATTTTTTCCGATTGCCAAACGTTCTTTTAAATGTTAATCCTTAATTTTTAACATTTAGTGTGTTTGAACCATTAAGCTCAGTTGGTAGGTCATTTGCCAAGATTTTTGAATAGAATATTTATACAGAACTAATACACGTTAAACGTTTTACGAGAAATTTATTTAAACCGACTATCCAACGAGCTGAAATTAAAAATTTTCCAGAATGCAGTCTGGCAATAAAAATGAATCAGAAGGGTTTCAGAGAACAAACGCAGATATTTAACATTTCTCACGGCCGGGTTTTTAAAAGCGGAGTAGCGTCACAACATTCATGGAGTAGCCTACCTAGCAGCTACATCGGTAACTGAACCACTTTTTAAACCAAAATAAAATCGCTACCACTAAGTTCGAATTGAAAAAAAACCATTTTTCTTCAGATCGTGCTAAATGGTTAATAATTTTACAATTAGAGAAACTTTCTTTATTGAACCTTTTTAATGTTTTATCACAAATGCTCAAATTATAATTAGCATAGCGAATTTAGTGGTTCTTTACTTCAACGCTTACCCTACAGATAGATGTAAAAATTTGAATTTTTTCAAAAAACCTTCGCACGTGACCTAGTTCAAATGCCGGCATTGAAGAAATAAAAATTGAACTATTGCTGGCCTTTATGTTGTTTACACATACACCTGCATGTACAGATGAACGCACGTAACTATCAGGGGGAAAAAATTCATAACAATATGAGTACATAATATGATATAAGACATTTATCGTCAAAGAAATCAACGTCTTTGTAGTTTATCATCTCATGATATGATCATTATTGGATATTTGAAAAAATTATCATAGTTAATATTATATCAAACATGAATTTAAAAATTATAGAAATGTATAAAAATAATCTGTACAACATTTTTCAATAAATAATTATAATGAAATTGGAAAAAATGAGTTAATAAAAAATTGAAATGCGTATTGAAAAGAAAGATTTTTAACGTAGTATAAAATGGTTAGACCAAGTTATAAATAAATAAATAACCAAAAAAATAAAAAATTAGACAAGTAAACAAATGAAATAATGAAAAAAATAAAAAATTAACAAACACGTAAAAAAACAAATTATTCTGAAGCTAATTTTGAACTATTCACGATGCCGAAAAAACAATAATCGAGCCGATTGTTGACTTCGCAACGGAAAACTTGGCACCCATCATCATTGTTATTGTTGCCAGCAGCGTTGCTGGCAGCATCGTTAGTGTTGCTGTCATGATTTCCGGATGCAGTTATCTTATCCAAATACATCCTCAAGTTAATTTTCTGGACGAAGGTGTTAAAAAAGTGATGGCGAAAATTTAATTCTTGTCCTATGATGTAGATACAGTTGTCAGATGTGAAGAAGGCTTTGTTGAGGACAGACATCTTCAATGTCAGCAAGTTCGTCCACTGATTGGCTTCACAATCGTATATCTCTCCTGACTTTATAAGGGTTTTTGTATTTTTAAAGTTAAAACATTCGGTTCAAAGTTTTTGAAATATCGAAATAAAATACGAAACAATAGAAAAAGGTGAAAAAAACGTTTAAAAGTTTAAAAAATTAAATCTATGGTAGGTAGGAAACAAATTACAAAACAACTAGATACTAAGTTAAAAATACCAACCATAACATCATTCCAAGCGAAAAACTGATATTCACAAATTGACCCGCCAATTGCAAAGACTTTGTTGCCTATGCAGGTCATAATGTGCTCTGCTCGACTAGACAGCATTCGAGCCATCTCGGTCCAATTGTTTAAGTCAGGATTGTACCGCCATACCCGGTTTGAAGTACCAGACTCGGTCAATCCGCCACTCAAATACAGTAGGCCGTTGCACGCACAACCTGTGGTTTCATTTTATAACGTGTGTTGAGTTATCGTCGAATATTTTGGAAACTAACGCATATTTTTAGACAATTAAAATAACATTTCAATAGAAAGTTACTAATTACATAAATTGTTGACCAAAAATTTAATGAAATGTATGTAACCGTACCTGCCGGTCTGGAACTGTCAACTGGCAGAGGCGCCAGCATGGCCCACCTATTCTTTTGAGGAATGTATTTCTCAACTGTAGGTGTCCGTGTTATAAACGTGCGGCCCGAAACAGCATATAGATGTCCATCCAGTTCACCAAAATAAAAATCTTTTCTTGGAACATACATACTGCAGCACTAGATATGATTGAGATTTTAAAAGTGTTATGATTTAAAAAAAAATAAACAAAATTTTAATTACCTAACTCGTTGCCTTCAAGTTTGATTGCCAATAAATTGTTCTATCTTTTTTATTAAATTAATAAATCCAAACTTCTCGAGTATTGAAATCATTTTTAGAATAAATTCCAATTAACCTTTGTCCAAATGGCCGGGACAGGCTTGTAAACGTATACTTCATTTGTAACTAATGATGTATATCTGTTTCCCCCAGCCACATACAAACAATTGTCAACCATGCAAGTTTTATACTCCATCCAAAGCAGAGGTGGTCCTAATCTTCTGGATGTGTGGAATCGAAGAGTGGGTAATTCTGTGTTGTTCTCATTTTCGGTCGATTTAAAGAAATCATAAACCGAGATTGAATGGAATCCTTGATAGTGAATATCCTGAAAAATTATGATTTGTTATTTTTATTAAAAAAAATTTTAGTTTACTTTTTTCTAACTATAAAGTAAACAAATTATGTTATATGTTACGATTATAAATCTTCAGAAAATATTTTAAAGTAAATATTTAAGTTGGAAATATTTTAAAAGTAAAAATGACAAAAAGTGACCAATAAGTTAAAATTAAAAACTAAATAACTAGAACTCGAGAAATTAAAAAACTTTGAAGAAAGCAAGAGGTTATCTATTGTCCGTTATAGTCAATATGTCAATGGCATTGAAAATCTGTGCTCCATAATTTTGCGTAAAGAAACTGATTCAGGCTAAACCAGCTACGAGAAATTTATTTGAATAGATGATGTCAAAAAGTCTAAATTACAAAAAGATCAGACTGGAGTCAATAAAAAGGAACGACGTAGCAAAAGGTTCCAGAGAACAAATGCAATTACTTAACATTATAAACCGACAAAAAAATAAAAAAAAAGAAAAAAATCATTGATTACAATAGGAGATGATCCAAGAGCAAATATCGTTCCAACTGAGCGGAAATTGTCCACAACATTTTCATTTTTGTTAATGTTCAGCTCGAGTTTTTCAAGTATTTCGTTACTTCTCTGCCTTTCGCCGGTTGTCATCAGACCATACCTCACCCTGGTTAACAATTTTTCTGCATGTTGTCTTCTTGATTCATCGGTAGATATCCAACGAATAATAAAATTGAAGATATCAAATTCGCTTTCTGCATTGAAATAATCCGACTCAAGCAAGTAACAAATGTCATCTGGTGCCGCCAATCTTAATACGTCAAATGTCGATTGGAGATTTCTAAAATTCTCCAAAACAAAATCACGAGCTTTTTTCAAAACGTCAAACAACATGTATTCTGATGCAAAATTTAAGATATGCGCAAAATTTGATTGCTCCAAACGTTTAGACAGCAAGTCTATGTACATGTGACTCATGCTACAAATTTGCAGATATGATGCTCCTTTCAATCCATCCATCAAGTTTTTCAAGTTCTTGATTGATTTCGACTCTTTTGTACGCTGATCATCAATATTTTCTTTATCATTTTGCAATGTTAATAAAAATTCTCGGATTTCGATTAAACTCTCATCTGACAGCAATTCCAAGCTAAGTTCTTTGCTATGTGCATCTAGCATTTCACTGTTTGCGAGACCCTTGTAATATCCGCTGGTTTGTAGCAATAAATTCTTATCTACCTCATAACGTCTGTCTGTTCTGGAAATTAACACAACTTTTCTTAAACTGTCAACACCGCCGGTCCCATCTACCACCAGTTCATTGTTTCCGGCCATTTCAAGTCGAAATATTCACTTACAGATAGCTATAGGCAAAAAACAATTTCAAATCTATATGACGTTTTGATCGAATAACATGAGGCTTACACGTGCTCTTCCTTATATAAACGGAATTTTACAACCTACCCATAATACATAAAATAGTAATTTCTTTGGAAGAATAAATTTAAGATTAAAGATAACTCCCATTGTAAACGAAGTCTAAAGTCTAAATTACTAAAATTAAATATTCCATGTTACCTATATATATATATATATATATATATATATATAAATAATTAATTAGTTTTAAAACCATACCAGAAACTGATCAAAGCTGAAAATGCAGTGACATTTTCTAATAATTGTATATATATATATATATATATATATATATATATATATATATATATATCATTCCGATTACCATAATTAATCTACTAAACTGTAGTTGTGATTTTTATAACCATGGTTGTGGCTGTTATAATTTCTTATAATTATATCACTAAATGTGAAATTTAATCAAGAGTTCAAACTCTGTAACTCAGATTGTGGTAGTGCTGGCATTTGAAGGCCAAAGTTTTACCATCAGGCAATTATGTTTTTTTCTAACTTCCATGCTGTTTGTTAGTCATCATTCCAAACGGCTGTTGAATTATTTTCAGGTAATCTTTTACAAGTATGTATAGCATCTTAACAATCGATATCTGCTCGTTAATTTTGAATCTTTTTAGACAAGATCTCGAGCCAGATTTGAAAAACTATAACCTTAACGATGTGTGTTTGGTGAATCCGGATTCAGACCTTCCCATTCCTAGATACTAATGAATGGGAAGTAAACAATCCCTCAAACATTTTTTAACTCGTTCAATGTTGGAAAATTGATTTCATCTGTTGCAAATGCCAGCACTGGCATAATTTAAGTTAGAATGTTAGTCTAAATTTTACAAATTACTATTTTTAGTAATATAATTAAAAAAAAAATAACAGCCTTATAAGATGGCTGACAACTAAGACATTTATTATTTATATATTTTAATTGATTTAGTTTATTTTATTTCTAGCAATTTAGACTTGATTTACAATACAAGTTTCATTTGATCTTAAATTTAATCTTCGCATAGTAAACAAAATTACAATTCTGTTTACAATTCGCGCGTTGTAAAAGTCTCAATATATAAGAAGAGCACGTGGAAGGTGGACGTTACTTGATCGAAAATTAAAGTAGATTTATATTGTTTTATACTAGAAGTTATCATTGAGTATTTCGATTTGAAATGGACAGAAACAATGAAAAGCAGATAGAGAGTGCCAACGATGTTGATGATTCTAAGAGGGTAGTGTTAACTTCAAAAGTAGGCGGTGAACGTTTTGAAGTTGATAAGGATTTGTTGCTACAAACCAGCGAATACTACAAGGCTCTCGTAAACAGTGGAATGCGAGATGCACATTGCAAGGAACTTACATTGGGATTGCTGTCAGATGAGAGTTTGACCGAGATTCGAGAATTTTTATCAATATTTCAAGTTGATGATAAAAATACGAAGTGGAAATCACGCAAGATGTGGGAAGAAGGGTTGAAAGGAGCATCGTATCTGCAAATTTCAAGCATGAGTCACATGTACAATGATTTTATGTCCAGATATTTGAAGATCTCAACATTTGCGCGCATCTTCAAATTTGCAACCATATACATGTTACATGATACTTTTAGAAAAGTTCTTGATTTTATTTCGGAGAATTTCAGAAAACTTCAATTGAGATCCGAAATGTTAAAGTTGGCACCGGATGACATTTGTTACTTGCTTGAGTCGGATTATTTCAATGCAGAAAGCGAATTTGATATCTTCAATTTTATTATTCGTTGGATATCTACCGATGAATCAAGAAGACAACATGCAGAAAAATTGTTAACCAGGGTGAGGTATGGTCTGATGACAACCGGCGAAAGGCAGAGAAGTAACGAAATACTTGATGAACTCGAACTGAGCATTTACAAAAATGAAGATGTTGTAGAAAATTTCCGCTCAGTCGGAACCATATTTGCTCTTGGATCAAGTGCTAACAAGGTCAGTGATTTTGTTTTGTGTTTTTTTTTCAAAATATTTCGTTACTCAACAATTTATTTATCTCAAGTATGTGACAGAAGCGCAAATAGTATTTGAGAAAAGTAAGACTAAAAATAGCACTACTCATAAGAAAAAATGCACGCTGTCGCTAATTGAATGAAAAAGTAGACCAAAATCGTGATTAAGTACCCCTGTTAAAAACTCTTCCTGATTTGAATGTTAAGAATTTGTATCTTTTCTCTGGAACCCTTTTGTTATGTCTTTCATTATTACTATCATAGCTGCATTCTGACGATTTGTTTTATTTTGCGGTCAATTCTTTCAGATAATCGAATCAAATAAGTTTTTTGTAGTACGTTTTGCATGTATCAGTTTCTTTATTTATGGCTTTCCGCAAGATTATGCAGCACAAATTTTTGAAGTAATTTTTTTAATTTATGTCGATGTATCGACTATGACTGACGATAAATAAGCTCTTGCTTTCTTCAAAGATTTGTTTTAGCTTCTAGTTATTTATTTGCTCACTTAAATATTCGCTTTGTTGAAGATTTTCATTCATTTCAAGTAAATTAATTAGTTTATTTTATAACTGGTAAAAAAATGAACTTTAATTTAATTAAAAAAAAACATACTTCAGAATATCCACTATCAAGAATTCCAGTCAATCTCGGTTCATGATTTCCTTAAATTGACCGAAAATGAAAACAAGACAGGATCATCCACTCTTCAATTCCAAAAATCCGGAAGATTGGGACCACCTCTGCTTTGGTCGAGTTATAAAACATGCATGCTTGACAACTGCTTGTATGTGGCTGGAGGAGTCAGACATTACTCATTAATTACGGAGGAAGTATGGGTTTACAAACCCGTCACGGCCATCTGGACAAAGGTTAATTTGAATTTTCTCAAAAATATTTTTAATACCCGGAAACTTTTGGAATTATGTGATAAATTAAAAAGATAAAATATTTAATAGGCCATCAATCTTGAATGGAAAACTTTGCTTCACATTTTTGCTATTCATAACAGCGTTAAATTTCAATCACATCTAGGTTCGTAATATGTACATTGCAAGGAAAGAATTTTATTTTGGTGAAATGGGTGGACTATTATATGCCGTTGGTGGCCGCACGCCAATTTTACTCACCCCATTTTCTGAAATATACAACCCTCGATACAATAAATGGGTCCTAACCGCCTTACAGCCTATTGAATTTTATAGATTGGCAGGTATGGTTAAAAACGTTTCAATAAATTTTTGTCAACAATTTATTTAGTTAAAATTTTTTAGTTAAAATGTTATTTTAACCGTAATTAAATGTTTGTTAATACCTGGTTTAAAAAGTATTTGACGATAACTCAACACACGTTATAAAATGAAACCACAGGTTGTGCGTGCAACGGCCTACTGTATTTGAGTGGCGGATTGACCGAGTCTGGTTCTTCAGACCTGGTATGGCGGTACAATCCTGGCTTAAACAATTGGACCGAGATGGCTCGAATGCTGACTAAACGATCAGACCACATTATGGCCTGCATAGACAACAAAATCTTCGTAATTGGCGGGTCAATATGTGATTTAGAGTTCTTCAATTGTTCTGATGTCATGGTTAGTATTTTTAACTTAATATAGATTATTGTTTTTTAACCTGTTTCTTTGCATGAAATATATTTTTTTACTTAACGGTAAAAAGTACCTTAACGGTACTTTGTAAAAATTAGTGTTTAACAATCAACAAGTTGTACTTTTTTAGTTTCATATTTCACTTTGAATTAGATTTTAAATAATTAAAAACTAATTAATTTAATTTTATAAAGTCGGGAGAGATGTACGATTGTGAGGCAAATCAGTGGACAAAATTGCTGACATTGAAGATGCCTGTCTTCGACAACGTCTTCCTCACAATTGACAACTGCATCTATATCATAGGAGAGGAATTAAACAGTGACAATGACTCCAGTAGCTTTTTCGTCCAGAAAATTAACTTGAGGAAGTATTTGGAAAAGATAACTAGGTCCAGACATGATGACAGCAACACTAACGATGCTGCCATCAATAACCATGATGATGGGTGCCAAATTTTCAGTTGCAACAACAGGTTGAGTTATTATTATTTTTTCGGCATTATGAAGAGGTCGACGTAAACTTTTGAATGACTTCTCCGGTACTGATGTGATGTTATTTATTTTGTTGTATATTTATCGTAGAAAAACATCTAAGCACTCTGACAAATATGTATATTAATATGAATGTAAATAAATAAACATATATTTATAAATATAATTATTTTTATATATATATTTATCTGTGTGTGTGTGTGTCCCGTTTTGAAAATCCAAATGTTGGCAAGCATGGTTTAAATATATGTCTATATGATAATTTTTCCAAATATCTGATGATGATGGTCATATTAAAAGATGGTGAGGGTTAAAACATAATTCACCTATAAATAAACTACAAAGACGTTGATTTCTTTGACGATAGATGTCGTATATTATATACTCTCACTGATTGCCATTCATTTAATTTTCGATGTAATTCGTTTGATTTTGTGTGGGTACATTTCTGCCAACGGTAATAAAATAGTTTATGTTTTATTTCTACAATGAAGCATTTGAAGCAGTTCAGGCGAGAAGATTTTTTTCTTTAAAATACTGGAAAAACAGCTTACAACTGAGCTAAATTCGTGCCAGCAAATTTAACATTTTAGTTTATGATTTATTTTTCAACAGGATTAAGAGCGTTTAGCCATTGTGAGGAATCATGGTTTATATGAAAATCAAATTTATATCTTTCCATCTAATGAATCACACAAATTATCAAGAAGATAGATATAACATTTAAAAGTTTAAAACTAATTACCATTTAACCAACTTTGCTCGACGAAATTGCATTAACGAATGTAAAGTTGTTAGTGGAAAATAAAATAATAATAATAATATTATGGTAGTTTAATTATTTTTACATGCATGCAAAGGTCAGACGCACACAAAGTATGGTGTCATTTCAACTTATTATAGATGCTTAGCTTGCACTTCGAACTTTTGTGTGCTACACACACGCATACACAGACAAACACACTCACATCTATGAATGTATATTGTATATATATACATATATACACGTACACACATTACTATATTATTATTAATATCTCATATACACTGTAATTTTGTTTTTCATAAAGACGTGAAAAAATTAATATTTGGAATGTGCGTGATAATACGCTTTACAACTCTTTTTTTCACTCTTTCTCCGTATCTTTCTCTCTCTCTTTCTCTCTCTCTTTCTTTCTCTCTCTCTCTCTCTCTCTCTCTCTCTCTGTTTCTTTCTGTTTTTACCATTGTAATGTCACAATATTCATTAAAAAGTAAATGTCTTTCACTCATTTGTATGTGTACATATATAAAAACTTTGGAAAAACAAGCAGACCTGATAGAAACATGTATGTATAGTTGTTTATAAACGCTTGGCAAACAATTTGTTCGTGTTGGTACACCTACGTATACAGAGACAATGTTTCATAATTTTACTTCTTATTTGGGTTAGGTATTTGAGGACCTCGTGTTTACGAGTTGTTAGCATGTTCGCCTCTTGCAACTGCGTTTGATATACTTTTAAAGTTAATTGTTGACGTTGTTTTGGCTGTTAAGAAAATAATTAATAATTTATAATTTATTAATAAATAATAATAATAAAAGTTTTTTCTACATTTTACTAATTTTTTATTTTATGTAACTTTGTGTTCATATAATTTAACAAGTAAAATAAACTGATTGGCAAATTGTCAAATAGATAAAATTAAAAAATAAAGCTTAATTCTGTAAAAACTCACAAAAATAATTCGGATCCTTTGAAAATATGTACAACGCGTGTAGATTAGCAACAAAGCCAGCACTGAACACGAGAGGGCGAATCTTGAATTTAAATTTCAAATTTCGCGCCAGCAACGAGTCGATTTTGACGACGCGGAACTTCAGCAGAACTTTACAAAACATCGACGTCTTCGTTGATCGTCACATTGGACCTAGCGATCGCGAGAGGTCAGAGATGTTGGATACGCTGAAGTTAAAAGTAATTTTTGAGATTTTTCGTTTTTACAAAATTAAAATTTTATAAACAAATGTAATTCTAATCGGTGCGGACAACATCAAGATAGTGATATCCGCGACAGATGAAATACGATGTAATGATGCAAACGCATTTAGATAAACGTTAAAGTTGTATAGTTCAATTCTTGTGCAATTAAGGTTAAAGTGGTATAGTTCAATTCTTAAATGCAATTCAATATGGCAAAATATCAGACACTTATCTGCTTTTTTATTCTATAATCAAAAAGAATAACATTAGAAACGTTTTCGTCCTTTCTTGTTTACTTGTTCATTGACAGTTTTCTTTACACTAAAGATAATTTTTATTTAGAATCTAGACGAGCTGATCAACAGGACCATCCCTCGTGATATTCTCTTCAAATTGGAAATGAAACTCGATGAACCTTTAAGTACGTTCACAAAATTAACTGTTAATAATAAAAAGTATAACTTATATTTTTAATTTATTTATATATATACTTGGATGTTCTTCATCTCTCTTGTGCCTTATCCTTTCAAGACATTGGCCACCATCTACCTCTAAAAAACCCGATCTGTAACACATTGCAGTAGTTGAAATGTAGTGATATTCAACAAGTGACAGAAGGACTTCAAGAATGTTGTTCGTTGTTGACCACGATCTCTTTCCCCTGCAATCTTTCCAGTGGTTGTTAGATTTTCCATTTTTTCCTTCCGCATGATGTGACCAAAAAACTTTAACTGCTCCGGTCGGATTATCTGTAGTAATTTCCTCTTTTCATAACCGGACCGAAGTATGAGAGGTCCAAGTAGTTTTCACGATTCTTCTCAAAAACCACATCTCAGCAGCGTTAATCGTTTTTCCATTTCAGAGCCGTAAGTTAGCACAGGAAAAAATGTTTATTTGTTACAACTGCATATCAGACAGTCTCAACCCACTATTTATATATACATATGTTCATATATTTTTAGTTATTCACTTAATGTGCACACTAACTCAGTGAATGCATTTGAAATAAACTGTTGTCACTCTTAAAAAATTGTTTGTTATCACAAATTCACATCTCATTAATATATTATCATAATTACTATCATTCAATTAATATTCAATCCTTAGAAGTATCAATTCAACATTACACACAAACATGTACACACTACACACAAACATGTACACACTACACACAAACATGTTCACACACACACACACACAAACAGCGCACGTGAATACGCGTTAATCACACACATCGTACGTGATTGGAAGGAATTACTTTGTATTCAAACCAGGCATCTGCAACAATAGAGCCAAGCGCCTTAACCATTACACCATTCCGCCACGCCAAAATAAATATTGTTATATTAATTTTTTTACAATTAAAACACATTCAACACAATTAGGCGAGAAGGAAATGCTGAAGAGAGCGTTGGAGATATCCCAAAAGAACGATATTTGGCGGACTTACATAGGAATGGGATTTTACAACTGCCACGTTCCTCCCGTAATCCAACGGAATCTGTTTGAAAATCCTGGATGGTGAGGATGAGTGTGTGAGTGAATGAATGAATGCAGGAATGAGCGAATGAATGAATTGATAGAGGAGTGATTAAATGAATGATTGAGTTGTTGAATGAATGAACAAAGAAATTAAGAACGTAAAATTAAATTAATATATTAACGAACGGATGAATGAATGAATAAAGAAACGAATTACTTTACGATTGAACGAACGAATAAGTAAATAACTAAAAAAAAATAAACAAATGAATGAACGAGAGAAAGAAAGAATAAATAAATGAATATTTTCTGATGATGATTTAATGAATGGGAGGCTGAATGAATGATTGAACGAACGAACGAACGAATAAACGAACGAACGAACGAACGAATGAATGAATGAATGAAAGGTTGTGTTGACTGTTGAAAGATGTTAGATATATTGTTTTATAATTTTGCACACTGAACTGAGCACTTGAAGTAAACTAAGAACATTATTTCCATTACAATTTAAAAGCCGACAAATTATTGTTATTATTATTAGTAGTAGTTGTAGTAAGTAGTTGTAGTAGTAGTGGTAGTAGTAGTAGTAGTTGTTGTTGTTTTGGTTGTTGTTGTGTTAATGAAGGAATGAACAAACGCTTGGATGTTCTGATTGATATATATGTTTGAGAATACAGTTGAAAGGTGAATTAGAATGGAAAAATATATATGAATGAATGAGTGAATGAATGATTGAACAGGCAAACAAATAAATGAATAGATAAACAATAAATAAATTAATGAAATTTGATCAAATGATGTCTAGGTGAAATTATTTTAATGAGCTTGTAAAAGGTTATTTAAAATATATATTAGTGAACCATGTTAATTAATTTGAACACTTGTAAACTAATCGCGATTTATACAACGACATGATGCACAATGAACAAATTAAGCCAACATGCCATGATACCTTGGTTGGTTTAAACAACACGCCAAAATACCATACGGATTTTGAACGACCTTTCGCATATATTAGAAATACGCATGCTTAAATAGCTAGAAGTACTTAATTTACAAATTGAAAATGAGACAGCTATATAGAAACAAAATATTTGAAGATCTTCAGACAAAATCTCTAGATCAAATGATACATTAACAATCATCACTCAAAGTACTCCAATTTAATTAGCGTTTATGCTATTTTCAATTAGTCCAAAATGGTAAAGCAAAAGTCCAAGTTATTATTAATCAAGAAACATAAAATAATTAGGATATTAATACTAGATCCAAGCAGTACTTCAAACAATCCTCAAACAACCAATATTTTCAGATAACGCAGGATAAAAATTTCAAGATACACACACAACATTAATTTTAGGGTCTATACAATAGAAATCTGGAAGAAAATCCGAAACAAACTTTCGGGTGATGATAATTTTAAGGTCTATACAATATAAATCAAGGAGAAAATCCGAAACAAATTTTCGGGTGTCCAAAATACAAATTCCCAGGTACAGCCAATACAATTTCCTATGCCTCCCAAATACAAATCTCCAGGTACACCCAGTACACCCCGTACCAGGCGGAGGTATCTCAGGGCCGGCTTGAAAGTTTGGTGAACTTCCAGACGATGATCTGCGACATGACTGGCATGGAAATTTCGAATGCTTCCCTGTTGGACGAAGGGACTGCTTGCGCTGAAGCTCTGTCTCTCTGTAACAGGTTGCAAAATTTGCAGTTTTTTGGTTTCGTTGGTAGGTAAGACAAGTATTTGTGTCAAATTTTAAGTTTTTCAACTGGTTCATTCGTGTGTAAGTAAAAAAAAGTTTCACAAATCAGCATGAAAGGGACACGGAAAAGAGTGCAACTCCTAATTAATGCATGTACCCAAACTATCAATCAACCCTGTTTATAAAAAAAAACCAAGCAATAGATCTTTAAACAAATCTTTTTAATGGTTTACATTCGTAGGAGAGAGTTTTGAGGCTAGCTTTGTCAGAACCACGAATTGAAAATTATTGACATTATTATTAAAAATTATTAGAATATTGACGTTCGAAACCACAAAGAACCATAATTGTATACCTAGTTTTAACCGTTAACGTTCCAAACCATACCAAACCATAATTCTATACCTTGTTTTAATCATTAACATAAACATCAAATCGTTCCATACTGAATCGTCTTCAAGGTTGAACAAGAGGAAGAAATTTCTCGTGGACTGCAGGTGCCATCCACAGAACATTGCCGTTGTTCGGACCAGAGCAGAGTACGAGTGGGATGGATGGGTCTATCTATTCTTCATACCACTGCCAAATTATTTTATTTATTTATTAAATTGCTTATTTTACTGAAGTATAGGTTTTGCTTTTTGATAAATTATGTTTTAAATTGATTGATAGAGTTTTTTTCATTAGTTTTTACGGCCGAATGTTTTTAATCTGCATTAAAGGAATTGGATATAAATGAATAAAAATAAATTTTGTTGAATGATGTTACAGGTTATTTTTCTTTATGAATTCACAGTCTATAAATTTTTTTCTTTTAATGTTACCAAGCTAAAATTTTATTTAGCCAACAATATATAACCAGCAAATTTCAAACTCTATAATACAAAATAATTTACCTGACAGAGCTCTCGGGTTAGAGATATCAGTAACAGATAGGGATGAGATGAATTTGAAGGATACGTCCATAAGTGGGATATTGCTGCAGTATCCGGATAGCCAAGGATACATTTATGACTTATCTCAACTGGTTCAGAAAGCTCATGCTAACAAGGTTAACAGATTGGATCAGTTTTCCTTCTCTTCATTTTATGCCTAAAAATTCAAACATTAACTCAATCCTGAAAAAACACTCAAACTCATTTTTTCTTTCGTTCTCGATTATCTTCATTCTGTTGTCTGGGAGTTATTACAATTTACCCCATCTTTTCATTCATCCGCAAAGTCTCTAGTAATCGTGGCCACGGATCTTTTGGCCTTGACCTTGCTGAAACCCCCGGGTGAATGTGGTGTGGACATCGCGGTGGGCACCAGTCAAAGATTTGGGGTCCCCCTCGGGTTTGGTGGGCCGCACGCCGCATTTTTTGCTACCAGGGAAGAATACAAAAGAGTCATTCCTGGTCGCATAGTTGGCATCAGCAGGTGGGTGGGTGGTTGATTAGGTAGATGATATATTGACTGGTTAGTTGACAAGTACAGAAATAAATAGTTGAAACCGTTTATTGAAAAGTAGACTAGATGAATAAGATGAAAGTAACAATCATTTTTATTTCAAATTACAATTAGTCAATCATTCAATCAATCAACAACTATCAATCAACAACTATTCAATCATTCATCCAACGAATCAACCAACCAACCAATCAACCAACAAACCAACCAGCCAACCAAACAACCAACCAAGAAGCCAACCAACAAACCAACCAACTAACCAACCAATCAACCAATCAATCAACAAATTATTCAACCAATCAACCAACCAACAACCAATCAGAGACGCCCAGGGCAGCCAGAGTTACAGGCTGGCCCTTCAGACCAGGGAACAGCATATCAGAAGGGACAAAGCTACCAGCAACATATGCACTGCGCAAGTTCAACTGGCCAATTAATTAAATTTTTATTCAAGAATTGATTTTAAAATATATATATATATATATATATATATATATATATTATATATATATATATTATATATATATATATATATAACTTTTTAATTTATTTAACCTATTCTTTTTTCAAGGTAATCGTTTATTTTAACATAACTGTGATCTGTTCATATATCAATAAAACATTTTGTTCATATTTTTGTTAGCTAATTTAGCAAAAAAAAATTCTAAATATAGGATATATCAATCAGTTAATTCAATTAATTAAATAACTAATTAGTCAATCAATCAATTAACAATTCAAATTAGTTAACTAATTTAGATAAAGATTAAATTAATTAAATTAAATTAATTAATTGGAAGGCATTGCTGGCAAACATGTCCGCAATGTACGCTGTTTTCCATGGCCCGGAGAGGTTGAGAGGGATCGGAAAAAGGGTAAATCAAGCTACTACATTGCTTGCTCGAGGTCATTTTTCATTCGTTCGTCTATTTATTCGTTCATTCATTCATTTATTCATTCATTCATTCATTCATTTCTTCAATCACCCATTCATTAATTTGTCCATTCATTCAACCCATTCATCAATTTATTTATCCACTTTTCGCCCATCCATCAATCAATCAATCCATCCATCCATCCGTCCATCCGGAATGATAATAAAACAGGATTAGAAGATGCCGGTCACAGAATCCTCAACAGCCCTCTCTTTTTTGACACTCTCACCGTCAAATTATCCGGAGAGAGAGAGATAGAGGAGATAAGAAAGAGAGCGAATGATAAAAAGATAAATTTAAGATACTATGACGGTGAAGACAATGATACAAAGGTTTTCATTGTTTGGTCCTTCTCTTTGTTGTCATTCGTTGTAATTAAATTATTATGATTCATCTGGGATTCTTGGATTCATTATGCGGTGGAATGGCTGGCGCACTCTTAAAGCGACCTGGATCGAACGCAAGCAAATCCTTATCGTAAAAATTTTTTATTTGTGTTTTTGCTTATTTGTGACATAGGCAGTGGTTTTTTTAAAAAAAAACAATTTTAAGAAAAGGACGCTATATAAATGAGGATATCCTAAACTTCATTCCATGTCCGATTATTTTAAGTTATAACAGCTACAAAGGATTATTTTTTACTATTATGACAATTTTATTTTCATTAGCTTTACGAGGTTAAAAATAACTCATACATCTCAGTCAGCCAATAAAGTAATGTCATTAACATACGTCATCGTCAGGTCGGCCTGTCATTGGACGAGACGACAACCGATGATGACGTCAACGATCTTTTGTTCATTTTTGGAAGTAGGAAAAAAATTGTTAGTCTGTTTTTTTTTTAATTTTGTAATCTCAAATTTTTAAAACTTAATTTTTGTAGTTTGTTACTTTTATTTGGTTCGCTCTTCATTATTTGGAGAAAGCTGTAATGCTTATGTTTTTGAAATTTTACAAAAGATTACTTTTTAATGCAGGTAGCGCAATCGTTTGTTTAATAAAATCCACAATGACAAGATTCTTCCAAATATTTGAGTACAGATTTGAGTTAATTGACAAACGCCATTCAATCAATCTTATTAAACATTCAGTCATTTAACTAATCAATCAGCTAACTTGATGAAACCAATCAACCACCATCAATCAATCATTTCAGGCCGATCTATCATCCAGAAGTCAAACTTCGCCCCAAAATGATTTCAGCCTATCGAATTCGAAGCTTAAGAGGACTAGCCAATATCTGACTCATCCTGTATTTAACAGGTCGAGCAAATGTTATATTAGTTTAATTAGTAATTTAAATTAATTTTTATAAGTAAGTACAACTCTTACTACTAATGTTTACAATGGTGCAATTTCCATTTGATGTGTCTTGCTACTACAACAGCGTTTGTTATTCATACCAACTGACATGTTGCATCTATGTGAAAACATGTTTTTTTTGGATAAAATACCAATTTTAAAATCAAATTTCAATTTTGAAATCAAGTTTCAATTTTAAAATCAAATTTCAATTTTAAAATCAAGTTTCAATTTTGAAATCAAGTTTCAATTTTAAAATCAAGTTTCAATTTTAAAATCAAATTTCAATTTTAAAATCAAGTTTCAATTTTGAAATCAAGTTTCAATTTTAAAATCAAGTTTCAATTTTAAAATCATGTTTCAACTTTAAAACGAACGATTTTTTTAACGTTAAACGAACTGAAACATCGGGAAACCTCATATCCCATTGTAAAAACCTTATGGCGAAGGTTCTGTTTTCCTTGATATCGACATTTTGGATATCTTAATCTCAACATTTTAGATACCTTTATCTCAACATTTTAGATACCTTTATCTCAACATTTTAGATACTTTTATCTCAACATTTTAGATACTTTTATCTCAACATTTTAGATACGTTAATCTCGTCATCTCACACTTCCTTCACAAAAAGTTACCATTCAGAAACGCGCATGATGCGGTATTTGAAAGAGCTGGAGAACAGAGATATCTCCCTCACTCACTCCATGATCTCTCTCGGCTCCTGCACTATGAAACTCAACAGTGCCTCGGAGATGATGGTGAGAAGTTGGTGGGAGGTAGAGAGGGGATTGTCTGTTGATGTTGTCGGCTTTTTTTATTTAAATTTATTTATAATTGTTATTGGCATTCATAAAATGGATTGAATGTTTTCTACTTGTTGTTTTTAATCAATTTATAAATTTTGCGTTTTTTATTTTGAAAATTTTATTCAACTGCTCTTTAACTCGCTCTATCCATCCGTAATTAATTTATTTAATTTATAATTCATTCATTCATTCAATCATTCATTCATTCATCCATTCATTCATCCATTCACCCCTCCACATTAGCCATGCTCCATGGAGGGCTTCAGCAGCATCCACCCCTTTGTTCCCCCTACACAAACCCTGGGTTACAAACAACTGTTCGGTGAGCTAGATAGGGATTTGTGCGAACTCACGGGGTTCCACAAATTTTCATTTCAGTCAAATAGGTCAGCTGATTAATTGAATGAAAGAATGAATAAATTGATTAATGAATGGATGGATGGATGAATGAATGATTGGATGAATGAATGAATGGATGAATGAATGAATGAATGAGTGAGTGAATTAATAAATGAATGAATGAATTAACGAACGAATGAACAAACGAATGAACGAACGAACGAATGAATGAATAAACTAATGAACGACAAAAGGAATAAGTGATTAAGTAAATGGCTAATGGGTGCAATGAATGAATATACATTCCGTCATAATAATTATCATCATTATCATCATGATTATTGTCATCACAATCATCATCATCATCACAATCATCATCATCATCACAATCATCATCATCACACTCGTATTCATCATCATCACCATCCAGCGGAGCTCAAGGCGAATACTCTGGGCTGATGACAATTATGGCTTATTTGAAGTCAATCGATCAATCACATAGATCAGTCAGTTGAGTTCATAACTATTTATGAATGAATGAATGAATGAATGAATGAATAAATGAATGAATGAATGAATGAATGAATGAATGAATGAATGAATGAATGAATGAATGAATGAATGAATGAATGAATGAATGAATGAATGAATGAATGAATGAATGAATGAATGAATGAATGGATGGAAGAATTAATAAATTAATGGATGGTTGGAAGGATGAATTATTGGCTAGATAGATGGATGAATGAATGAATGAATGAATGAATGAAAAAATGGATGAACGAACGAATTAATGAATAAACAAATACATTAAATGATAATAAAGATAGAAACCTAGAAGTGAAATTCTAAATAAATTTCTCCAACTCCAAACTTGGAAAGGTCTGCCTAATTCCGGAATCAGCTCACGGGACGAATCCGGCCAGTGCCCACCTGACTGGGATGAAGATTGAAGTCCTGAGAGTCTTGAAGAATGGTGACGTGGATTTGTCCGATCTGTCCAATAAGGTTGCAGGGATTTTGTTATTCTGATGTCTGTTTGGGTTTGTGGCACTGCACCCGGGATTTTACTTGCAAGTGTGTGTGTGTGTGTGTGTATTTGTGTGTATGTGTGTTTTTGTTTGGAAATGTTTATAGTTTCATGTGTGTGCGTCTTCGTTGGTGTGTGCGCGTGTGTATTGTATGTGTGTGTGTGTGTGCATGTTTCCGGGTTAAATGTAAATATTTTTTTTTTATATTCTCAGTCCAGTGTTCTTTATATTATCATAAATCTGTATGTTTGTGTGTACGGTACACCTCCAGTGGTTGAACACCGTTTTAAGTTTTAAAAACATTTGCCAAAAATAATTTTGTAGGTGGAAAAAAATAAAGATCGATTAGCAGCGCTGATGATCACATATCCTTCTACTCATGGCGTCTTTGATGATAGCATCAGGTCAGAGCTACTCTAATGTTATTACTGCTGCTGGCCACTTGAATGTCGAAACATACAACACACAAACACATGAACATACAAACACATGAACACACAAACACATAAAAATACAAACACATGAACATACAAACGCATGAACATGCAAACACAAACACATGAACATACAAACACATTGCAGGGAGATATGCGAGATTATCCATCATAACGGAGGGCAGGTATATTTAGACGGGGCTAACCTCAATGCACAGGTTACTTGCTGAAAATTATGGGTGAAAATATTAATGAAATAGTTATCTATAATCTATTATTATTTATATAATATACCATAACGTAGGATCTGTTTGGCAATGCAGTGTAATGACATTTTTAGTCTCTCTCTCCTCTCTCTCTCTCCTTTCTCTCTCTCTTTCTCTCTCTTTCTACTATTTTTCCTATCTTTCATTTCTTACCTCTCTTTCTCTTTCTTTCTTTCACTACTTTCTTTCGTTCTTTTTTTTTTCCTCTCTTTTTGAATTATCTATCCATCCATCACTAACAGGTAGGCCTGTGCAGGCCAGCGGACTACGGGGCTGATGTGGCCCACGTAAACCTCCACAAGACATTCTGCATTCCTCATGGGGGCGGAGGGCCCGGAATGGGCCCCATCGGAGTGTTGGTGCCTTTTTTCTGACCTCTCTTTATTTAACCATTAAATTATTTCTGTTTGAAACGCACAAAAATCGCCATTCAAACGAGATAAATTTACGTGCATTTCAAATTCAATTTTCAATTCCCAATCCCGAATTCTGCTTCAGAAAGAAACACTTAGTCCCATTCCTGCCCTGCCATCCGGTGGTACAAATTGACGACACGGATCGTTCCATTTCTTTCGGCAGTGTAGGTTCCACCCCTTACGGATCCAGTCTCATCCTCCCGATATCCTGGGCCTACGTCAAGATGATGGGCGGGAAAAATTTAAAGATGGCGTCGCAGGTGGCCATCTTGAATGCGAACTACATGGTGGCCAGGCTGAAGGGGCATTACAAAATTCTCTTCACCAATAAAAATGGTTCGATAAATTTATGGGAAGTTTGGCTGATCGTCTGATCTACATTGTATTTTTTGTTAGCTTCATTTAGAAAATTTAATTGTATACGTGCAATTTTTATTTCATAATATTTATACAGATTAAATAAAGGTTAAAATATTATATATATATATATATATATATATATTTATTTATTTATTTATTTATTTGAATCGAAGTCATCAGCAATTGTAGGTTAAAAGATATAATAATAATTTTATTAAATAAAATAAATTTGCGAGAGACTATGGAATTCTGTCATTTTAGTTATCTAACGAACCCTACATAACAAAAAATAAATTTGTTTAAACTCTAAAAAAACAAAACAACATCGTATCACATACCAGAAATTGAAATTGAGGCACTAAATTATATTGTTATAATTTATTATAATTTATTAATATTATTACGATTTAAATTATTATAATTTATTAATATTATTACGATTTAAATTATTATAATTTTTCTTACTACAGGTTATTGCGCCCACGAGTTCATCTTGGACTGCAGAGACTTCAAAAACACAACAGGAATTGAAGTGGTTGACATTGCTAAGAGGCTTCAAGATTACGGTTAGTCGCGGTGGTCTAGTGGTTAAGATCGCCTGCGACTGTTCCCGGCTACGTACAGTGACCGTATTCAAATGCGACAGTATGATCCCAGTGACCGTATTCAAATGCGTCTGTTTGTGGCGTGTTGTTATCTCTTCGAACCTAAGAAGGGTGTAATAGTCCTTTAACCTTTTACTTTTTAGGAAACTTAAATATTAATGAATAACATAGTTGTATCGTCAACATAATATCAATATATATATATAGATATATATATATATATATAGATATATATATATATACATATAGATATATATATATATATATATAGATATATATATATATATACATATATATATATATATATATATATACAGATATACCAAAAATACAATAACGACAAAATACCGACATAATTTCGACATAATACCGACTCATTATCGACATAATACCAATTCAATGCCGACATAATTTCGACATAATACCGACAAAATACCGACTCAATATCGACATAATACCGACACAATATCGATATAATATCGACACGATATCGTCAAGGTTTCCATTCTCCAACCATGTCATTCCCTGTGTCTGGCTGTTTGATGATTGAGCCCACTGAGTCCGAAGATAAGGAGGAGTTAGATAAGTTGTGCCATGCACTGATCGGTTGGTTGTTGGTTCGTTCGTTTTTTGATTAGTTGGCTGGCTGGCTGGCTAGCTGGTCGGTTGGTATTTTTTAGTTACCTTCTGTATCAATTCTAATATAAATATGTAAAAAAAACATGATATTTAAATCGCCTCTTTAAATTTCATCACTCTCACACGTGTAAGAAATCAGAAGAGAGATAGGAATGATTGAGAGAGGAGAGATGGACAAGACGACAAATCCACTCAAAGTATATTTGATAATTCATTTGTTAAATCAGGCTTCAGTAAACACACATAATAACATACAAACGTCCAAGTCCTAAATACATTGTATATAAAATTTAAAAAGAATTTTATTTCATCTCCACCATCTAGATGTCGCCTCACACTGTTTCAGCAGTGACGTCTGACGCTTGGAGTCGTCCGTACAGCAGATGGCAGGCCGCTTTTCCTTTGGTTTGTATGTCGGTTTTGATGTTTTGTATTTTTCTTTTATTTCGAGTGGCCCAGAGTATATTTACAGTTTGTTTGATTGATTGATTAATTGACTGATTAGTTTGATTTATTTTTTGATTAATTGGTAAGTTAATTAGTTAACTGGTTGGTCGGTTGGATGGTTGGTTGGTCGGTTGATGGGTTTGTTGATTGGTTGGTTGCTTTATAATAAAGCAGTTTACGTGTTGGTTGTGAATGGACTTTTGGGCCATCCGGTATAATATATACAGGTTTACATAAATTTGTGCACTTTTTGTATACTATGTTAATATATGTAACAGTGACTGTGTGTATATATTTTGTGACACACGGCACTGCATACGAAGAACCACACATTCACACACATACACACACTCTCCCAAACTCACACACACACACACACACACAAACATACACACACGCAACAAAATCAGAACTTTGTAAGCCCTACGAAAAAATTCTGGCCCAGCATAGGCCGCATTGATGACGCATATGGCGACCAACACTTCCACTGCCAGTGTCCGCCCATCTCAGCCTACACCGAAGAGAAAGAGGAAAGTAACAGGAATTAATTGGTCTCTACAAAAGGGCCTGGTCCACTAGTGTTGATGAGTTAATTTATGCAAATGTTATGCAAATTTGTTAATTTATGCAAATGTTTGTACATAGATGCCAATGTTCTTGAAATTTTCGCAAATGTAAACGATTTTTTGTTTTGATCTATTGCTTTTTAAGATTCGTTCGTGATCACGTTCGATTGTAAATTATTATTTAGTTAATTGTGATCCGGACACTGCGGATCACCGGCCATGAATCACGCTTAGTCAGACAGACAGACAAAAAGACCTAGACATAGACAAACTGACAAAGAGACATAGACAGACAGATAAAAAGACCTAGATGTGGACAGACGGATAGAGAATATGACGAAAGCTAACTGACAGTATAATTATTAGACAATCATAAGCCTCATTACATTTTGCTATTGATTTTATGAACTCAACCAATCAGCAGCCCAAATGAATTTTAATGAATATTTGACTCCTATTCAGTTAATTAATTAAAATTACGAATGAACGTAGCGAACCTAAGGATACATTTTATAGCAATAATTGAAATGGCAATAAGAATAATAAGTTGATCAAACTTTTGAAATGTTTATTCAACTAATTAGTAACTTAATTATCTTTCTTTCTTTCTTTCTCGTGCCTTATCCTTTCAGGACATTGGCGACCATCGACCTCCACAAAACCCGATCTTTAACACCTTGTAAGAATTGAAATATAGTGATACTCAACAAATGACACAAGGACTTCACGAGTGTTGTTCGATGTAGACCGCGATCTCTTTTCCCTGCAATCTTTCCAGTAGTTGTTAGATTTTCCATTTTTTCCTTCCGCATGATGTGACCAAAAAACTTTAACTGCTCCCGTCGGATTATCAGTAGTAATTTCCTCTTTTCATAACCGGACTGAAGTATGAGAGGTCCAAGTAGTTTTTATGATTCTTCTCAAAAACCACATCTCAGCAGCGAAAACCATCGGCAAACACAAACTTAACTATAATTAAACTTAAAATTATTATTAAATAATTGTTAATATTATTAACTTATTATTTAATTATTATTTAATTGATTTTAATGAAGCAGTAAATAAACTTAGATAAACAAACAGATGATGGTGATGCATGTAATTCATTCATTTATTCGTTCGTTTATCCATTTTAAAATTAAAAAATAATTTTATCAATTGCCCTTTGTTCATTCATTTAGTGATAATAGTAATAATGGTAATAATAATAATGGGAAGAATAATAAGAAAACAATATCATTTTCAGTATATTTTAATTATTAATTAATTGATCAATTAATTAAACGAGGGGTGGGCAAACTATTTTATGCGACCTTGTTCGCCAAAATAGGTCGTTAGCCAGGCACTATGACCAAAGAAAAAGGAGCCACAAATCTTGAAAAAATTCTCCACCGGGTCGAAAAAATTTGCTATTCAAGTACATATGCGGCCCTTCAAAGGTAAAACAGTTCTCAATGCGGCCCTTGTAGCAAAAAGTTTGCCCACCCCTGAATTAAACAATTCAAATTCTTCAATTAATTGTAGTAATGTACAATATAGCCCAGTAGGTGTAGTTTATTTAGTTTATTCATTCACTCTTATATCAGTTAGTATCATTTTAGATCGTGATAAACATATATATGTACATTTAAGTATGTGTGTGTTGGTATGTGTGTGTGTTTGTTTTTGTGTGTGTGTGTTGGTATGTGTGTTGGCATGCGTGTATGTGTGTGTACCAGCAAGCACTTAATTACTAAATTATTCATACAATAAGTCAATCATGAAACATGAAAAAACCTATCATCATCATCATCATCATTCACAATTTTCTAAAAATAATAAAACATATTATAAATAATAATAATTATAATTATTCTAAATTACATTAAATAATAAATGTGAATAAATCACACCAGATAAATAAATGCATTTTCACAAATAAGGCTTTGTATAAGATTGAGAGAGGTTACTTCAATTTCGAAACACGTATTTTCAACTATTATTTTCATCATCATCATCCTCATCATCATCATCAATAACATCACCATCATCATCACTACAATCATCATTACCAATAACCCATAAAGGTTAAACAATAACCCATAAAGGTTAAACAACTATACAATTTCACAACAATAATAATAACATCATATAATAATTACAAAAAACTTTCCCGAAATCGTTCTAAAAAACGATTTCTCACCAGGTTCAAAACTATCAAGCTAATTAAATATGACGTCATTAATTACCATTATTATCATTCTTATTATTACATACGCACAACATTACACCGGCGATATTTATCATTTCAGTGACGTCATAACATCGCATCACGTGAAACTACATCAGATCATAAGTATAATCACATCTCTGTTTAGTTTATACCTACCTTACCTTTGTCTTCACAAAACAAAATTCTCAACCGCCCCTTAATTACCGACTCTCTTATAAAATTGATTTTCAGAAATGCTGTTAACACACACACACACACACACACACACACACAAAACGTCATTGTTAATGATGGCATAGGATCGTTCCTGTCACAGTCCGAATACTGAAAGAGCTAAACTTTAACATAGCAGCAATCACATTAGTTACATTATCTAATACTTTAAATAGTGTAATATTATTAATTAATTACTAATTAATCAATTAATTAATGCCGATAATATATTATAATAGACGAATATAAATAAATAATATTATTGTTGCAGTTGTTAGGTGTAAAAGTCATAAATTTCGTACCGCTAATTCAAATGACACTGAAGACAACAAGAAATGAAACAAGCACATCACATGACCCTTGAAGACATTAAAAACAACAACAAATACAACATTAAAAACAACAACAACAAATACAACATTAAAAACAACAAATACAACATTAAAAACAACAACAAATACAACATTAAAAACAACAATATCATTTGACGTCATTAATGTAATTGGATAGTTAATGTAACTAGATAACTAATGTAATGTAATTCAACTGTACTATTACAACATGTGTTTTGTTCACATCACGTGTTTGTTTGTTATTGTCTATTCGTTCTTTGCTCATTTTGATTGATATAATGTTGTATGCAAAGAGATGTTTGGTTGGTTTAAAAAAAGTTTCCCACATTATTATCAACTGAATTATCAATCGATTAATTAATTAATTAATCAATAAACCAATCAATTAATCAACCATTCATTTCAACGATCGATCAATCAATCAATCATTCAAACGATCAACCAATCAAATAAACGATCCATCAATCATCAACCAATCATTGATTCAATGAATTATTAAACTAATTCACCAGTCCAATTCATCAATAATAGACAGATGATGTTTCACAAAAAATAAAGAAGTAAAACACAATATGGTGGTAAAACTGCGAAAGATTTCTAAAAAAAAAAATACTAAACAAAAAACTTGATGTAATAAAGATTAACAGACCAAAGAAAAAACATTATTTAATGTAATATTAATAATATAATAATATTATCTCCAAGCAAGAACTCCGATCTTTCTAATCAATTGTCACGGAATATGTAATAAAATTACCCAAACAAAACACACATGTACGCATATATACGTATATATATACATATATTTATATGTATACACCTACCAACATACATATATACACATACACGGGTCATAAATTTGTCCACCAGCTATCGATGGTACGATCAGCAAGGGGGCAAGAGGTACGTGACGTCATCAACCCCTTTTTCAGATTATTGACGTTACGTACCCCTACTGACCGACCCTATTTGTCCTAGCGGGTCGACAAACTTCAGCCCCCATACATACTCACGTGCTTGTGGGTACAAATCAATATACACCAATGCAAACACACATACAAATATATATACATATATATATATGCTATAATATATACTATACACATATGAATGTATGCACGTACGTAGGTGTGTGCGTGCATACATACATACACGCCCGTCATTGCTGCAGTCTGTTTTTTATTCAGTTTTCCATTGCATATGTAATAAGTTAACTAGAAAAATTAACATCATTCATTCATTCATTTCTCTTTTTCTTTCACCCGCTCCCAACCTCTCTTTCTCTCTCTTTCTATTGAACTGAATGAATGAATGAATGAGAATCAAGTACAACAACAAAATTGAGTTACTGAATGATAACAAAAGGACAGATTTACATATTCATAAGACATTTACATACTCATAAGACAATTATTTATTTGTACACCAACAATGAAGATTAGGAATTTGGAATCAAAGCATCATATGACACGCAAACAGATAAGGATAGATAGATAGATAAATAGATAGATAGATAGATAGACAGATAGAGAAATATATTCACATAGATATCAGATGAAGAAGTCGATCAATAAATAAAAAATGTACAATAGCATAACTATCACATTACTGGACTATGGTCCTCTTCAAACGAAACCCCCTGGTACCATCAGGTCCTCTAGGCATCCTTATCAGCCCTTCTGTGAATTTCTTGTGCGAAAATTCAGTTTTCTGTTCCTCCTTGGTAGCGGTGTTGGTGGTTGCGGCAGCAGATAAATAGTGTTCACTGCTACCAGTCAAGCCAGCAGTAACTACAGTTGTTATGCTGGCACTTGCACTTCCACCACCACCACTACCACCTACTTGAAGTTTTTTCTGAAGCCACCTGCCAGGACTGGATGAGAGAGGGCCGAAGGAACTTGACCTCAAACGAGTTCCATCTTCGAGTTCGTAGGTCAGGGGTGATTTTGCCAGCCCTCCGTGCCTGGTTGCAGGAATGAGATGTTGTGGTTGACTGTGCTGATGAGCTCCCGATTTTGTGGGACTGCAACCGAATGATTTGCTGTAGTTGATGTTCTGCCTTGGAGAGGTGGGGATTGGGATGCCACCCCGATCCGGTTGAACTTGAGTGCCAGTGGTGGTCTTGTCAAGGTCGGAACCACTACTAGATATCGTCGTTTGAAGTTCAGCAATCCGGTGAGCTGCTGCCTGCTGGTCCTTCTTCTTCGATTTCTTCTTCTTCTTTTGAGGTTTCACAGGATCGCCTGACGAGGATTTGAAATTTATTGAGTGACAGTTGACATTTGTCAATGAGAATTTAAAAAATAACAAAAAAAGAAAGATTGTTAAAATTTTGCATTCATTCAAAAACATTAAAACATAGTTACCTAGATTTTGCTTATTTTCTTTTTCTTTACTCTCTGGCTTATTTTTTGCTGGCTTCATCAGAACATCGACCTTCATTCCTCTCCTCCAATCAGACGTGTTCGTGAGTACCTTGCTCGCCATGCCGGCCGACTCGATGTTGTCATATTCGACGATGGCGAATGGCAGGTGGTAGGTTCGGTTCTTGTTCAAAATGGTCTTCAGCCATGGCGGGAAGTTGTCGTCTGTGAAGACGCTGACCTGAATGTATAAAAATTACTACAGATTCACTCATTATTAAAAAATGTAACATTCTTTCCTTTAAAAATATTCATAAGCAATTTACATTTGCTGCTTAGTTAGTTAAAATAAAACTTTTTTTGAACCAATTAAAGTAAATGAATGAAACAATGTAAATAGAATTTAATGTTAATCAAATGATGAAGGACTATCAATCGTCATCCTCACCCTAAGAACTTTGCCACACTTCTCGAACGACCTCTTCAGCTCCTCAACTGACGTGGACAAAACTGGAGTGGCAATGACGGATTTTGAACAATCTTCAGCCGACATCTTGTCAGATGTCCTCGGCAGTGGATCAATCCTCTTGACTTTATTTTTATTTTCACTAACTTGCAATTTTTTCGACGAGTGTTCTAATGCATAGGCTACGACTCTATGGTCGTTTGTCAACCTCTTCATTTTATGAAAAGATGAAATGACCTTCAAACTAACAAACCCCTGTTTATTCCTCTTTATGTGCTTCATCAGATAATCATCCTTAACAATGTTCTCATCAGAAAAATAATACTCCACCTGTTGAACTATTTTATTGATTAGCTCTTGAGAGGGAATTGAAAACTCCTGAACAGTCACCTCGGGGGCTGCCTTGGTACCGTCCTCTAGACCCTCGAACTCCTGATCCGGTTGAGCAATTATTATGACATCGTTCGACGCGCTGCAGTCGTCGTCATTCTGCCTCTGCAGTTCGCCGTTGTTGTCCTCCTCCTCCTCCTCCGCCGACCAACTCGCGTCGTCGTCGTCGTTGGTCGCGTGAGCCGAGTCGTCGTGAACGCTGGAGGACAGTGAAGTGTCGGCCATCTGTCGGCTAGGAGTAGGAATGGTGTCGATAGGACCATCGGTGTGGTAAACGGAGAAATCCTCACTTGCCACTGATTTATCGTTCAGAGTCGATTGCTCGAAATTATTATCTCCACTCATCTCGACTTTGAAACGGAAAACAAAATTAGTGAAAATGAAACTCCTTTCGCCAATCGAGACGGGACTGTCCGTGCAAATCGCAGCGACGGCGAGTGAACTGCGATTCGATTTAATCCTACCAACAGCAGCGCATATCTACAAATGCAACGACAATAAAACATAGAACTTTTATTTTAAGTCATATCAATTTTTCTGACGGCATTCCATTCTATTCCATGTATATATGATCTGTATACAAATATTGAAATTAATATTAATAATATAAAAATGTTATGATTCAATTAGAACAATTCTTTTCACACCAACCTCAGACCAAGTTTTCCTTCAATTTAGGTGCACTCTTTCATGATTCTGGTCATATGTTAAGAGGACAGACTGAATGGAAATCTAGATGCTTTTTGTAGACAGGATCATCATCGCTGTCTTTGGATTTGAAGCATTTAAGAAGTTATTATTTTTCAATCTAATGTTGTAATTGTTGAAATTAAAATGTTTTTCTCATGTAAGTTATATTTATGAAGTCGTATGAAATTATTAGGATATTATTTGGTTATCAAACATATGTTAACGTTATTTTAAATTGTTTTTTTTAGCTGATTTAAAGCAATATGTTTTATTAATTTTGACTCAATCGTAATATGTGCACTCGCGCTTTCAAAATACCTTCAAAATGATATTTAATTATTTTCTAAAAAATAAAAATTAAGGTTTAATTTAGATTTAAATGTTGGATTTAGAAAATACATAAATGAAATGAAATTGTCAATTATTTGTGATAATAATTGATTTATAAATTTTCAAAATAAAAAATAATATCTCAGATTGTCATTTTTTAAAAAACTCCGTTAATTTTGTAGGTGTTTAAGTCCGTTGGAATGGTCGATTTGCGCTATATAAATAATCTCAATTAATTATTATTATCTTGATTATTTGTTATCTTTGTGCATTCTGTGACTTGTTAACATTCAAATAAACGTTTTAACGAATCTGTGTTTGAATTGAAACAGTGTGTATCTACCAGAAATCTTAAGCCATATGGAACATCGATAACTTGACCATAGTGCAAGTGACAATAACAGTAGTTTGCTATACTAATTTATGTAATTAATTAATTATTAATCTATATTATAAATCCTATTTTGCAATGATTTTATAAATTCTAAACATTTTTAATGTATTTTGTTTACAATGTGACGATGAATTTTGTCTAAAAAGTAGGCATGTCCCTAAGTATTAAATTGGTGTCTGAGAGTTGAAATTTATATAAATATTACCCACTGAATATTTTCTGTAGTATATTTATAAGTCAAAACGTTAACAAAAACGTGCAGGTGAGTAACAACGTGATATCCTAAAAAAAATATCCGCTCTCAACCAGATAACAAAAGCTGTTATTACCAAATGTAACAAATTTCAATGTCTGAACTTGTGGCTGGCTCGAGGTGGTTATTCATGTGAGTAAGTTATAAAATGATAAAAAGATATTAAAAAAGAAGAAAATTTTAACAAATATAGTTCTTTTAATAAATATGCGTTAAAACTTTTTTGATTTAAAAATTTTTTTCAAGCATCCATCCCTCTGCGGACCGTCGTCACAATCATCCTCACACCTCGGCATATATTTAACATTTAATAATTTATTTTCTTCATTCTCACATCCTCTCACACCTCCAGCGTACAGAACGGTCTTGTATCCGTCGGTCGATACGTAAGTAGCGGTCAGTGAGTTCAGATGACTGACAGTTTTTGTCATTTCAATGTCTCGTCTCGTAAAATCTCTCCCATTAACATCGTCCGAATCGCCGTTGCGACAGCTGACGATGATTATAGCGGTCAGCAGAACAGCCGCCAAAAACGCTGTAACAACGCAGATGACAACAACCCATGATGCCGTGCTTTCGTTCAGAGACAAACCGTTAAAATACCGATATCCTCCGCCCCAATCAGAGCTTGTGTAGAATTCTAAACTTTCTGGAGCGTTGTCGTCACCCAGGACTCGTTTCACGATAACGACTTTTATGATCGTTGTTGTGTTTAGTGAAACATCAGTTCCGGAATCACTGGCGAGAATTAGCAATGCAAATGTACGATTCCTGATCGTATCCGATATACCCGGCAAGGTTGGAACGAAAAAATCGGTATTGGATGATAACCGACCGGTTGCCGGGTCGATAATGAATAACGATTCGTTATTTCGTAGTTCTTCTTCAGATTTTTGCACTTCGTGTTCGTTTTGTTGTTTTGTTATATTCTGCAGTTTTAAACTAGTAGCATTTAGAGATATCGAATCAATTTTATTTTCATTCATCGATTTATTCAGAAACAATTCAGTAACTTGAACGACAAAATATCTGACATCTCCATTCAAATCGAGATCTGCATCGACTGCGGTTAACGAGGCTATCGTCCTGCCGGTTAATAACGGTTCGGGTAGGATAATCGTAGCCGTGGAAGTGGGTGGGTAGATGAATTTTGGTGGATTGTCGTTCATGTCATTCACCATGACAACAACTGTGGTGGATGACGTTAATGTAATGTCATTGCTGTCGACAGCAGCTACTATGATGACGTGTTTGTCGGCAAGTTCTCTATCCAGAAGTGTTCTTGTTGTTATGAGACCGGTTGATTTGTCGATTTTAAATTTAGGGAGATATTTTGGAGTCCAAGTTACATTTTTTGAACGTTGTGAAGAATGCAAATTTTGCTGTTGATGATTTTTAAGTTCTCGGTCACTTTTTATGTTTTGATTTTTAACGAATTTTGAAAGTGAATTGATGGCAATTGTCTTTTTCAGTGGTTCGTTTAGGAAACTGTTCGAAGCCTCGTAGGCATCGTCGTAGCTGTCGTTGTTTTCTTCGTCGTCGCTGCCGAAAAATTGTTCATCATTTTTTTCACCAATCTTTTCGCCATTTAAATTTCCATCATAGTCGTCCACATCATAGTCGTACTTTTTGCCGTCGCACTCGAGTATAGAAAAAAAAAATTTGTTGAACAATTCTGAATCGGCATCAAGGGCGCTGACATAACCTACTTCCGATTCCGGTGGAAGGTTTTCTGAGATTTGAAATTGAAAGGTAGGCACCGTAAAAATGGGTGGGTGATCGTTAGCGTCTTGGACCTCCACGACGACTGTTGCTGTGGCCGAAAGTGCTGGAGTGCCATTGTCCTTGGCGACAACCTGGTAAATTAGTTTAGAAAACATTTTGCTAATGATGGCGCTACTAAAAACAGAAATGTACGATTTGTGTTGGCAAATACTTAAATCACGGAATAGATGGCAAGGTTGAATAAATATGTTGAAAAAAAATTATAAGGATTCATGAGAATAAAAGTATCACCATGACATACAGTAATTTCAAAACCAAATCCGTCTTTATTAAATTCAACACAGACGGACGCCGATTTTCTATAAAAACCGATGACCTACTTTGAATGTTATTGATTTGATGACCTCATAATCGAGCAAGGTGGTTGGTGTAATTTCTCCACTGTTTGAGTTAATCGCGAACGGAGCTTCCTGCTGTTTCTGATGCTTCTGCCTTTTGTTTCCTTTCGTTTTTGTAAATTGATCCTGACTAACGATGATCACGTGACGTGATTCTTTCATAATTAAATACGTCACTTTGGCGTTATTTCCGCTGTCGATGTCTGTCGCTCTGACCGTGGCAACCGGAAAACCAAATGGGCTGTTTTCGGTGACGTTGAACTTGTAAACGGACTGGTCGAAAATCGGGTTGTTGTCGTTCACGTCACTAATGAAAACAAAGAACTGTCTTTCCGATACTAGCGGTGGATTTCCAAAATCTTGGCAAGATATAAGCAACCGGAAATAGACATCATTTCCGGTTGAGGTACCAGTAGAAATATCTTGCGGAACGTTGATTGTGCTGTAGAGATTGCTGAGCTGGTAGGATGTTTTTTTCAAGAGTTCGCGATCGATTGGAGAGGACGTGATGATGTTGTACTCGCCGTTGAACATCCTCTTCAGCCTGAAATATTCTACTTTCTCTTGTTTTTTCCTGTATTTAATTTGACCTTTACCCCTCAGGTCGCCTGTGTTATTAGTTTCGTATCCACCGTCACCCTCTTCCTCATCATTCTCGGCTTCCAAGTATCTGTAGCCGCCACTTAGACTACAATTAAATTTTCCATTGATGCCAGCGTCAGCGTCGTTCCCGATCACGTGACCGACAAAATCTCCCGCCTTAGAATTTTCCAGAACGCTGGCTGCCTGTGCGTTCACTTCTGCTAACGTGTTGATACTTATGGAAGGGGCGTTGTCGTTCTGGTCGTCAATCACTACCTGGTAAGGGTGATGATGATGTGATGTGATGGTGATGTGATGATGATGGTGATGATGATGGTGATGATGATGTGATGATGATGTGATGATGATGTGATGATGATGACCACGATGATTATAAAAACGATAAGGGAAAGGTTTGCATTTGAATCTGAGATATTGATAATGTTGATGACTCTGACGTAATACGGCACTGTAATAACTTGGAGGCGTTTTCATTAATTGGGGAAAAAAATAGAAGGAGTAAAATAAATTGTATTTTGGTTGTGTAACGTGTATTTAAGTATGCAATGAATAAATGAATAAAAAATCAATAAAAATGAATAAAAATAAATGAACAAGAATGCTCTGACAATATGAATAAATGTAATAAAACTTTCTGTGTTGAAATAACGCAAATTAGATGGAAAGAAGAAACGGCTGCAACGTATTAATATTAATGCCGGATGAGACACATGAACGCACTGCAAATTGATTCTTCATTCAAGGTCAACCTCCCCAATATAAATTTCATCATGATGGATGGAAAGATATAAATAGCACCAACAACAGGGTAGTACCTATAAATAGCACCAACATGGTAGTACCTTGACGGCTACTTCCGATTGGAGTGGAGGTGTGCCGTTATCGGTCGCCAGGACGATGAGGTGGCACAGTCTGGTGACCTCCCTGTCAATCAGACCTTTCACCTTGACATCACCTGATTTCAGGTCAACCTCGAAAAGGTCACCGTACATATTTTGAGTGCTGGGGGCGAAGGAATACATGACCTCGCCATTCAGTCCTGTGTTGAAATTAAGTGATTCGGAGTTAAATTGGTTGGTTTGTGTGCATTTTATGGCTGGTTTGAGATGCACATTTAATGTTCATTGCTTTTATTTATTGCCCAAGTTCTAACTTTTTAGTATTAAAATGAATTGAATGGTTGAGTGGGTGTTAAATTATTCAAAATCACTCGATCAATTGTTAGATATTTGTTTATACATCTTTATGGATTACGATTTAATTGTTTATTCGATATAAACCAGCATATCTCACGCTGACTATCAACCAACAGTTTGAATTGTTAACTTTAAAAAGTTATATCATTGTAGTCAAATTTCTGAAGCCAAAAAATACTACACGTCTGAAGGCGGCTCACCATTCGATGGTAAGCCACTAAAAATCAAACTGCAAGTTGAAACACAAATTGAAAAAGAAATAACTGTACATTCAACTGAAAAAACTAAAGAAGCCAAAAGGAAATAAAAAAAGACTCAGACTTCAATACTACTACGACTAGCGAACGAATAAATAATCGTTAAAATGAAAAATTAATCCATCCAGCCGGCGAACAAATCCCACCTGAGTCACTATCTCTGGCCAGTACATTAAGAACCACAGTGCCGCGCGCCGTGTTCTCGGTCACGCTGATGTCGTATATCGTCTGCTCGAACGATGGCACGTTGTCGTTACTGTCCAGTACAACTATGGTTACCTGTGTGTTGTTGTGGTTATTGTTGTTGTTGTGGTTGTTGTTGTTATGGTTGTTGTTGTTATGGTTGTTGCTGTTGTTGTTATGGTTGTTGCTGTTGTTGTTGTTGTTATGGTTGTTGCTGTTGTTGTTGTTATGGTTGTTGCTGTTGTTGCTGTTTGTGTGTGCGGGCCCGTGTTCATTTACAAAATGTTTGTCTGTTTGATGTGTTTGGCAGCGTTACATTTTATGGAAATATCTCGGTTACATCCACTTTCTTGCAATAAGCAGTTAGATTCTAGAGAGAGTAGGCTGGGATATGAGTAGACTAAGATGGAAGCGATGAAGGAACAAGGATAAATTGAAGTTTTGCAAATATTTGAAAGATTATCAACATCAGATAAAACTATTTACGATCAATTTTAAGACAAAGGTGTTTCTTTCAAACGCAATGGATAATACGAACAGTTGTTCATCAGTCGGTAGGTATGTATATTTAAACACATGCACGGTAAAAATGTTACGAAAAAAATTAGCGTTGGAACAAAAATGTAAAAGTTGGATTAAAAGAAGAACGTGATTTCGAAAGATACAAGAAAAAGTTGGTTTAATTAATTTATGGTAGGATGGTTCATTAAGAATTTAAATATGATGCGTGTCCTGCAGCTAACTCACTGACGTAAATGTATCTCCGAAGACGAACAATCCAAAACTGCTTTCAACGTACATACATAGTACACCAGAAAGCACATGAATGTATCACATACATCCACTCATTTAACCACTACACCTCACACAGACGTTGTAAGAAATCATACTCAAACAAATGGCATTTACCTCAAGGACACCTCTGTTTGACGGGACGCCCCCATCGTGGGCCACGACCTTGACATTGTGCGTGTCCTTGACCTCCCTATCAAGCTGTGACGTCAGCACCAACTTTACTTCCGTCGATCCGTCCATCTTTGTGATAGCCTGTCGAAAGGGGAGTAAAAAAGAATGAATGAGAGTTGGAAAGGGGATTACAGCAAAAGGCAGCATGAACGCGAAACCTTCAATTTGAATTTATCGTCATCTGGATCTTCCACAATCAGTTCGTATCCGACAACTCCGTTTCGGCCCAAATCCGGATCTTTCGGAATGGGAATAACGAATCCCTGTTCCAGTTGCGAGGATTCGGACAGCTCCTGGATGAACTGACTTGGCGAATAGATCGGTACATTGTCGTTAATATCGAGTAGCTGGATGACGCATCGGATGATTTTGAAGTATTCGATTGGTTTAATGGCTACGTCGACATGGATAAGACAGAAATTGTTCTCGTCGTCGTCGTCGTTGTTGTTGTTGAAGTTGTAAACCGTTATATTTCTGTTGTTGTTGTTTGTTGTTGGACGTGGAGAATCACTTTGATGGTGACCTTTTTGGTAGGGTCTTGAATGTAGTTGCAGCTGACGGTTGTGGAATTGCTCTGTTTGATAGTTTTGTTGTTCATGAGATGGAAAGTTATTGTATTTGTTGTTGTTGTTATTGTAATTGTTGTTGTGGTTGTTGCTGGGATAATTATTGTCACTTTTGTTGCTATCATTTTTATTATCAAGTCTATGATTAATATTTCGACGATGTTTGAACTTGTAACCGCTATAGATCTGCTGATGTTGTTTGTACTGCTGCATATGGCGGTCGTGAAATAGCTGCTGCTGATAAAGATTTTGTTGAAAGTGTTGTCGCTGCAGCTGCTGTTGTTGTTGCAGCTGCTGTTGTTGCTGCAGCTGCCGTTGTTGTTGCAGCTGATGGAATTGATGCTGTTGTTGTTGTTGCATAAGCTGAAGTTGTTGTTGCTGCTGGGTGTTTTTGCAGACGACTTCGCGATCAACACGTGATTTGGTGAAAATCTTTCCAGACTTCTCGTCCAAGCCCAAGAAATCTACTCCAGGTGGCGATAAGAAACCGAAACTATAGTGATGATGATGATGAGGATGATGATGAAAAAGATGAGCATGATGATGATGATGCTGAAGATGATGATGATGCTGAAGATGATGATGATGCTGAAGATGATGATGATGAGGAGGGGGAGAAGGAGAAGAATGGTGACGATTATGAAAACTGTGATGATGGAATTAGTGCTGAAAATGTGAATGATGATATGAAAAAAAATTGTTGTTTTAACACGTTGGTCATCAAGAGTGGATGAAGCAAACCAGCGAACATAAACTGATCTTTCAATCATTTGTTTAACTGCCAATCACGTAATACACCCCCGTCTAATCAATGAACTGACCAATCAGAAAAACCAACCACCCAATCACAGCCAATCACTGACAGACCAAGCCAACCAAGTCAGCCAATCAAAACTCACGACAGCTTAGCATCTTTCCTGTTTTTATCCTCAACCGGCACGTAATCCTGCATGACGTAGCCGACCACGTGACCAACCGGAACCTCTTCTTTTAAGGAGAACGACACCAGCTGGGCAGTGGTTGTGGTAGTGGTGGTAGCGATGGCGGCCGCAAAGACAATGGCTACATTTGGTGTCATTTTTTGATTGGAGGTTAGGAAAATTGTGGTAAAAAGAAACCGTAGGAATCTGGACAACGTTGTTGATGCTTGCTTACCTAAGTAAAATAAAATTTTTAATTATTTTAAAATATTTTCTAGCTTTTACAAGCTGGATTACATTTAATTAATAAATTAATTAATTTTTTTATTTTAATTCGATAATTTGTCTCATGTTGATTTTATGATTAATTCATTTGAGTTGATAACCTCCCAAGTTCATCGTTGTCGGACTCTCTAAATTATTCTAAACAATGAAAGATTGTGTTTAATGGATGGATTAAATGGATAAATGAATGAGTGAATAAATGAATGAAATAACAAACAAATAAACAAATAAACCAACGAACGAACGAAAGAATGAACGAACGAACGAACGAACGAACGAGTCACATTATATCTTCTCTTTACTTCATCATCATCATCATCATTTTGTCGCAATGTGTACACAACCACCATCATCATCATAGCCATTACAGTAATCATCACTGCCATCATCATCATCCTCATCGTCATTATTCTCATCATAATAACCATTACAATAATCACCATCATCATCACCACCATCATCATCATCACAGCCATTATAATCATCACCAACGCCACGGAACGGTCAGCCAAACTCAGCACACATCCATCATGTTTATCCTTTTCATAATTGTTGGAAGGTAGCCATTGTCCATTCGTACGAGGCGGAAGTAACGTCAATTAAAGAAGAACATCATTTTATAGCGCTGAACTTTTTCCGTGCATTTTTTCAAATTATTCCGCGCGTTAACTGCGACTATTTTTTAATGTAATGCCTCATTAATGGCTGGATAGATTACGCAAGGGCATCAATTCTTATTATCGCCATCTACTTTATCACGTCTGGATAGTCACACACACACACACCACACGCACACACACACACACAATGTATGCGTCCATGTATACACACCACACGCACACACACACAATGTATGCGTCCACACACACACACACATGTATGCGCCACACACACACTATAGTTTAGATTCTGTGTTGATGTGAAAAAAATGGATTTTCTATTAAAATTCTCTATAGTATTTCTTAGGTTTTTTTTCCAACATTTTAATTAACACTTGGACACACAAACAAACACACAAACACACACACTCACATATTAATTGTGCAGTCGAACTAGGTCAATGCAACACCAGTTCAGAGCGCCCCTCAACCATTACATCAATCATAAATAATATTTAAAATTGTAAAATTATCAAATTAAGTTTCTTTTCATCTGAATATTTTTAATAAGTTAAAAAATCACAGCAGATGTTCAGCTAGCGCTGATTCTAGACCCTCCATTCCCTTGAAATCCCCAATAGGCGCTCAGCCAAGTAAAAATTAAAAATTAATTTTTTCACCAGAAAAAAGTGAAAGATTAATTATTTTTTAAACGTAAAATGTTAAAAGTAATGATCGACATCTGTTTGAAAAAACTCTTAGCATCTTATTTTGTTGTTTTTCATTCAATTTCTAACTAATTTGCTATAAGCAGCCGAGGGCAAAATTTATTGAAATGGTTTTCCGACCAAGTTTTTACAATTTTCTATAAAAATTTTGCTAATTTTAGGTTTAATTAAAAACAAATAAATGAACACAAACAAACAAATGATATAACTAAACAACAAACGACCAACAAGCAATCAAACAAACAAAAGAGCAGACGAACGGACAAACAAAACACATGTCGGAAAGATATTTGCATTGACACCAAGCATCGTGATCATGTTATACTTCAATGAACATGCCTCTTGTGTTTGTTTGTTTGTTGTTTGTTTGTTGGTTTGTTGTTTGTTTGTATGTTGTTTGTTGCTTTTTTGTATTTTAGTTGTATTTTGTATGCATGTATTTGTATTTGCTTATGTCTTTTTTGTCATATGTGCGATGTTTGTTATGTGTTAGCGTATGTTGGTGTAGATGTTCATGTTTGTTTGCATGTATGTGTGTATGTGTTCATGTTCGTTTGCACGTTCGTGCTTATGTTTATGTTCGTATGTATGTTTGCATGTTTTTGCACGTTAATAAGCATTTATTTGAACATAGCGAGTTCTTGATTGGCTGGGTGGACCCGCTACTTTATTACCTTCTTTCAATTATACATATGTGTGTTTCAGTCGGTTGTTTTTAATTGTATCTGTGTGTGTGTATCTGTGTGTGTGTGGAGCGTATTTGTGTGTGTATGTGTGTGTGTGGAGCGTATTTGTGTGTGTGTACTTATGTATGTGTGTTTTCATATGTTTGTGTGTGTGCGTGTCTGTAAGTTTGTATTTTTGTATGTTGGCATACATTTCGTTTCATAAGTATAGTTTGAGGGGAAATATTTTTAACAAGTGTTTTACGAACTGTTATCCAGCTAGCTTACCATTACAGAAGATAAGGTCTTTATAGTAACTGTAGACTTAAATTTGGGCAATCCTCACCTAAATACATGTGTTTCTTATTTTACACAAAGTTTAAAAGACGTTTAAATGTTTTAACACATCGAATTTCAACATATATGTTAGTGTATCTCTTCTCTCTCTCTCTCTCTCTCTCTCTCTCTTTCTCTCTCTCTCTCTCTCTCTATATATATATATATATATATATATATATATATATATTTCGATCATAGAAAAATGTCTGTGTGGCCTTCAACATGAAGAAAGTAATATTTACGACTAAGTTGTTTAAATGTGACTTTACACAATCGTTACATTACACGTTCATTTGTAATGATGTATAAATCATTTATTTAATTTTTAATCATCCTTGTTTTAAGTTTTCACTTTTCATATCTGAATCCTTCATTCATTTTGAATAATCTGTTTCTACTTTATGCTTATGTTTTAACAATTTTTTCATGATTTTAACCAGATTTCAAAGAAGTATATTTTTTTTCTTCTATTGAAATAAAAATGGAGGAATAAAACGGGTTGCAGAGCGGTGATAGAAATTAAAAAAAAAAAAAAACTTTGTCTGGCTCAGTCGGTCGAGACGAACGAGTTTTGGTTTCGCCCAAGTCCCACCATGCCATTGTCCCTTTAATTGACTTTAAGTTCGAATTAATTTTCAACATTCCTCCCGTGCGGTTTGGCGCCAAAAAAATTTTTTTTTTTCAAATTTTGTTCGCTTCTTTCTATTTATTGTTTTGTTTCTATTTTAAAGCTTTCAATTCATTTTTTTCATACTTCTTTTTCGTGTTTTTTTCTCGTTCTCTCTCTCATTTTTTTCAGTTTTTCTCTGATTACACCATTGCATTTTATTCTTCATTATCTATTTTTCCATTTTATACAAATCCTCGTAACATCGATTCAGAAGGTTATGGTGATTGTTGTTGTTTTTGTTGTTGTTGTGTGTGTGTGTTTGTGTGTATATGTGTGTATCTGTCTCTGTGTGTGTGTTCGTGTCTCTATGTGTGTGTTCGTGTCTGTCTCTGTGTGTTCGTGTCTGTGTGTGTGTGCGAAAATGTTTTTGTTGATATTGGAGTGTTGTTTTTAGTGTTGTTGATATTGTTGTTGTTGTTAGTGAAAAATTGTAATGTTATAAATGTTGATGTTTTTGTATGTAGCTGAGGTTTTTTTACTGGCGTAAATTGCTTAAATTGTACTACAAACATCATTGCCTTTTTGTTGCTGTTGTTGCAATTGCTGATGCTGAACTCGTTACTACTAATGTAGTTATTGTTATTGTGTTGTAGTTGGTGTTGTTTTGTAGTAGTTGAAGTAGTAGAAATAGTAGCAGCAATAGTTGCTGTTGTAGTTGTTATAGTAGTAGCAGTAGTAGTAGTAGTAGTAGTAGTAGTAGTAGTAGTAGTAGTAGTAGTAGTAGTAGTAATAGTAGTAGTAGTAGTAGCTGTTGTTGTTGTGTAAAATTCGCGCAACAAGACGTTAGTTACATTTTTTGTCAAATTCTCTTTCGTAAGAAATCAGAATTTATCGTTTACAAGAAGAGATGGTGATGATGAAAATGATGAAAGATGGTGATGGTTATTAAGAAAAGACTCATTTTTATTATTATCATCATCGTCGTCATCTTCATCGTCGTCGTCACCGGCATCTGAAGCGAGACGCCCGACCTAATGACCGTTCACATTGTCAGCATTAAACAGGGA